TGGCTGATGGATAAAAAAAAACGTGACACTGTCTATGGACACTGCAAAAGTTGTGTAATTGGCAGTAGCACACCGAAAGTATTATTTTTTTCATTTTTGGGATGAAAGTGGTGAGATTTTTTTTTGAAATGCTCGGATTGCCCCCAAGTATCGACGGATTCACAGTTCTCCTCCCCAGCGCCGGCAAAGGGATGTCGGTGTCGTCCACGCGGGGAAGCTGTAGAGGAAGAGAGACGGCGGGCAGGTGCATCAATCGTAATAGCGCGCCCCCCGTTGTCTCCTCCGCTCCTCGCGCCGCCGCCAAGACGAGTCGCGTCGCGGCTGCCGATCTCAAGCAGAGCAGGGGAGGGTATCCTGGTGAGCATCCACATCCTCTTTCTGATTCGACTCAATAGTAGTTTATTCATCCAAAATGGCCACCCTCATAGCTATAGGATCGATGAAACTGGTATAAATCCTTGTTGACTTAGGAAAAAACTATTAGTATGTTATTTTTACATTTACTTTCTGTGTCAATAGCTTTAAAATGATTTGTGTTGCTGCTGCCAGAAAACATTCCGAACTTCCTTCCTCTCTACTTAAGTTGCATGAAACAATTTTTCATGATCTTACTGCTCTTTAAAGAGAACATTTTCCAAGCTAATTCCTAAATATAGAATTCTTTAAACAGTGTGCTATTTAAGTAATGATAAAACATGTTTTAAAATTTCCATGTTTGAGAAAAAAGTGAAAGAAAAATAAATATTATGAGTTGGGGACACTGAACCTGGGGCTTCCGCCAGATCCAGCTATCACAGACTGATCATGACAGTACACGGCTAGAAGAAGGACAATTGGGCAGAGGCTGAATATTACTAGCGTTTGCTCATGAAAATCTGTTGATCAATTCCAATGTTCATTTAATGATAGCAGTGTTAGTGTGTTATTTATAAATAACTTGTCAAAAACGTCAAATATGTGCTGAAGTTGCATAAGATGATTTTGTATCGTCTTAATCCATAAATAAACTTCTTGTCAATTGTCATTTCATTAAAAAAATAGTAGTTTCCTTTCAAATATGTTAGTTTTCTTGACACGCAGTATGTTCTTTTTTTTTTCTATTGACTAGTGTTGCTTTCCTGTTAATCTCGCGACACATGTATGTGAGCGGTCGTGCAAGCATGCTGAAGCAGTAACGGCAATATCCTGGGACGACGCTCTGCAACTGGGCATGAGAAGTTTCGAGCACAAGTTCTCCCGTGAAAAAAGAAAAAAAAACAGAGCAGAGGAGCCGATCACGGCCCTGAAGTCTGAATCGGACTCGCGGCGACCAGCGGGGCAAGTCCAAACTCCACACGAGCGCGAACCCGCATCCTGTTCGGCCACGTCTCCCTCCCGTGAAACCTGGGCCGTCCGCTCTATCGCTTCCCCCACCCTTTTTCGTCATAATTAATATTTGTGATGGACAAATTTGATTTGCAAATGATTTAATTAATGAATTGGTTTGAAAAGATGTGTGGATGTTGGTGTGAGTTTGTGTGACTAATTGGGTTCATATGTTGTGATATCTGTGCTTAGAACGGTTGTTTTGTCTGATTGTGTGCAGGTGACTTGAGGTCAGTTTTGGTCAATGGTGAGCACCAGAACTATGCTTAGGGAGGAGCAGAGGTTTAGTGCGGTCGAGATATCATGTGAGAAGGTAACTAGAGTCTAGATTCTTGAAGGTCAACTTCGGCCAACGATGGGGATCGGGACTAGACTCAGGGATGAGTTGAGGTCCAGACAGTCAAGAATACCGGGTGACGAAGTTGGATACAAGATGGCACACGGTGAATGGACACTGTGTAACGGTGTGGGAGAGATCTTTGCAACGGACTTCACGAGGTATGTGTGCAAGCGTTAGTGTTTGCGAAGAAAATTGGAAGAAGAATTGGAGCGAAGCATATGGTTGCTACAGTACTCGAGGTACTGTAGTGTGTAGTATGTAGTATGCACGTATGTGTTGTACATGTGTACTGCAGGTGCTTGTCGACATGGTCCAGGAAGCATATATATGCATGTACTAGTAAAAATGTCCGTGTATTGCAATGGGTGAAAAATTTTCAATTACAATATACGCTTTTCATGTATAATCATCTCGATGATAATGTTGGTATCGATCGTTGTAACTAAGACATACCCTAAGGAAAATTGGAACATCTTCAATATAATGGTTTAACCTCAACGATGGCAACCTACCAATGCATGCTTTACCAAAAAGAGTTGTATTATTTATGTGGTTGTACACATATAATCTGAAATACTCTTTTAATCTCATTCTTGCAACTAATAATAGGATCAATCAAATCCTACACTGTCTCGCATGGTCAAGTCTAGACAAAATATAGTCATCGTGCACTCTTCTCTTAACAACAATTAAAAATTATTTATTATTATTATTTTTATATGATACGCTATCAAGACTATTAGCTATACTTATCAAAGTAGTCTGATAATTGCATACAGAGTCGTGCGGGGTCACCAGTACAGGAGCAACAAGCCATGTACATAGGAGATGGAAAAAAAAGATCCTATCCTACCCAAGCCTCAGATCAATTTGATCTTGTTCCGATAAAACCAAGCCCAAGCCCATGCATCCGCACATAAAAATATTCAACAAATGCTTTGGAAAAACCAAACCAACGTGGTAGATGATACAAATGATATGAATCTTTCTCATGGAATAGGATTTTTTTTCTGAAATTGGACAAATTTTTTTCGCATTGCACGGTGCCGAACCGAATTTTTTTATAAATGCACGTATTTTCTTGCGTTGGGTTGGACAATTTTTTCGGAGCAATACTTTTTATAATAACGGTGTTTTTTTTTTGGGTAGAGTCGGACAATTTTTTCGATCCGGTTTTTCTCGCATGGATTCAGTCAGTTTTTTCCGATTCACCTTTTTTACAAACAACATTTTTCAACGGTTTATTTTGGAGTGGTTTTTTATCTCGCATTAAGTCGGACCTTTTTCAAACCATTTTTTACAAACGACGGTTATTTTTTCTCGTGTTGTGTCGGGTGGTATATTATTTTCTCGTGTTGAGTTTGGATGGTTTCTCGAACCGGATTTTTTTTCTCATTTATTATTTTTTATGGGAGTTGGGCTTTTTTTGTTTTTTACAGATGAAGCAATGTTTTCTTTTTTTTAAAGTCAGACGTGAGAAGTTCTCTATCTCTTATCTTACGGGAGTCAAAAAAAATTTTTACGGACGAAATTTTATCTCTTATTTTATGGGAGTCAATTTTTTTTTACGGACGAATATTTTCCTTTCTTTAGGGAGTCGACGTGAGAAGTTTTTTTTTAACAGCAGCCGGACTTTTTTTAACGGCCGGACTTTGTTTTTCCTATTTTAAAGGAGTCAGACGTTTTTTTTGCCTGTTCACTTTGATGCCATTTTCAACCTTACTAAATTTTGGTAAAGTTGCCGAAAAAGTGGCTGCTGCCAAATTTTGGTAAGTATATAACAAATCCTGCCAAAATTTTAGCATAGTTGCCAAAATTTCGACAATGCTAAAATTTAGTAAGGTTTTTTTTAGCATCAAACTAAACAGACCCTTTCTTTGAACGGACTGTACTTTTTTTTCTTTTTTTATTTGTGACCGTAGTTTTTTTTCTTGCTTTTTATTTTGAGTCAGACTTTCTTTTTACGGCCGACGGAATTTTTTTTTTAATTTTTTAAGTAGTAGAGATGTATATATATATATATATATATATATATATATATATATATATATGCATTTGTTCTCCTGATGATGCTAACCGAATAGGACTTGGTATAATTCAAACCAACTCTTATTCGGCCCAAACGGAAACGGACGGGAGTTTGTTTCTTATTTTTGTGAAATCGGACAGATTTATTTTTTATTTGCGGCCGTAGTTTTTTTTCTTTTTCCTTTTTCCTTAATTCTTACTTCAAGATCAATCACAAGAAAATTGCATCAAATTAAAGCATATCATCACAAATCTTGAGCACTACTGATTAAAAGAATGGATTGGCCCAAGATGTTATTAGAAAATTTCAGAGAGGTTGCAGAGTTGGAAAAAAAAAGATGGTTTCAGCGGGGGTTCTCACCAACAAGGAGTAGTGCTTGACCGTGGAAACGAGAAAATGGTGAGAGAACCTCAGGATCTTCGGCTAGGGGAGCGGGACCTCCTTGAAGAGATGTCGATGAACGAAGAGGTTGAAGATGGCGAAGTCAAGCCGCTGGGTAGGGTCGAATCCATGGACGAAACTCCTGGAGAGGTGGCCAAGCTCCGGTGTCGACACGGGGCTCGGGGAGCGGCGGTGGTGGCCAGCGCGTGGAGAGGGAGCAACACCGGTGAGGCTGGGGAACAGCGGTGGTGGGGCGCGCAGGATAGGGCGAGCGGCGCCGGCGACCCGCCTGGGTGAGGAGAAGGCGAAGCGGCGGCGGCGGCGCTTAGGCTAGGTCACGACAAGACTCACGAGCCACGACAACACAAGCGCTACTTCCGCTCCGTATTCGATTTGGAGCGGTAACGGATTTGTACTGGGCCCGGATCTGGAGTATTCGATTCCAGGCCACCCAAAACAAACAAATGTAACGGGTTCAATTAACGCTGCTAACAGATACGGGCCCAATTTTGGTTTTGGAAATCGAGGGGCGAATCCTATTGAAAATAGGAGCTCTACTCCTAGCTTGAATAGGAGATTTTTGGGTATAAATAGATGATATGTTGAGGTGAGAAGCATATCGACTTTTGTAGGTTCGTTTGTTCTTGTTCGATCCTACATTACCATCACCTTCCGCGGCTTCCGTCCTCCCCGTCTTGCTCGCCTAATCCGAAGCCCAAGTTCTCCTTGCTCGAAAACTTGCCGCCTCATCACGCCGGAGAGTATCATCGCCACCATCTCCCACCGCAGCACCATGAACGGGATCGGTGAGCATTCGCCTCTCCCCTACTTCGCTTTTTTGTCGCGCTCTTGCTGTTTTTTTTGGGTGATTCTGTGATTGGGTTTATGGCTTACTGTTTGCGGCGGCGGGTTTCTTATGCAGAGCTCTCATCGGAGGACAAGGCTATCCTCGTGGAGACGCTCAAGGTATAACCTCTTCCTCTCTCGCTGTGATGATTGCTTCAATTGGAGCGATCGTGCAATGATGTTTTGTTGATTCAGTGATGTGCTTGTGCAGAACAAGCTGCAGGCGTTGGCGGAGCAACATGTTGACGTGCTCGAGAGCCTGGCACCCTCGGTCAGGAAGCGCGTCGATGTGCTCATGGAGATTCAGGTAAAGACAAAACTGCTAAAACTAGAGAGAGCTTCAATTCGCGGCATATTTTCGTTCATCGTACTGTTTATTATGCAAACCCATTGTGGCGCACATAGTGACAATATCGTCAATGAAACGTGAGATTGACTACAAGTTTTTGCATGGTTTAATTCCCTCTTTTCCAGAGGTTTCCTTATCCATATTTTAGTATTGTTATGTTCGTGAGTATAAAACGGTTGGATTATATGCTTTATCCTTTATTATCCGTACTTTATTATCCATAGTTGCTTCTACTAGTCGCCAACCTGTGCGTTGCACGGGTTATTTTTAATGACGCTCTAAATATTAAAATTGTATGATTATTTAAACTACGATATACTGAGCGTTGTGCACGTATTAACTGTACCCAAGTAAAGACCCTTATAGAGGTTCTCCTATATTTCCTTGGAGAGGTATGTACCTCCTTAAAGAATAAATTGATTGAACTGATTATAAGATAAATAAATTTATGATTGACAATGATGAAACTTTTTTGAATCTCGTGAATCTCGGGAAGTATATATATAGGGTATACATGCCAATATTGTTTGTTACGAGGTATATACCTCCTGGATAATACATGTGCTTATATCTTAAAAACAAAAATAAAAATTAAAGAATATTTACAGACATGAGTTTTCAACCTTGTAACCTTTAGAATTAGTTTCGGTAACCCCATTTATAAAAATGATATATCTCATACTGAGGTATATAAAGGGATAAATTAAGAAATCAATATGTGAATAATGCCATATTTTGGGGAAAATGTTTCTAAAGAGTCCATGCTATCACCTATGGCTTGTTTTATTAACACAAACACTTGAGATGATCTATGTCATTCTGATTAATTAAGGCGGGAGTTCCTTGAGACCCACGAATCATCAGCCCCTGTAATGTTAGGACTGATATTATAAACACTATAATTTTAATCTCCTGGAATTTTAATTCATCTTAGAGTCACAATTTAGTCTTTTTATTAAATTATATGCTAGCAGTAGTTTAACAGTACACCAAAAAGCTCCTGCAATAGCAGGCAAGTTCAACAAATAATTAATCAATCGAGTGTTCATGATTAGAACACTAACAAATTTGGAAAGCTATACCAGACTTGCGGGGTTGCGCGGTTGCATCGACGTGCCAATGGCCTGACAGCACGCTTGGCGATATTGGTTTAGTACAGCTTCCTCTAATTATTTCTCATTGAGATAAGCAATCAGTCTTTTGACCGAGAAAATATAGCGAGCAGGGGATATCTCAATGGAGTTGTGGCGTGGATGCTGCATTAATCTCTCCGCTTGATCGTGTTGGTGGAGTCTAGATTGTATTCGATCTGCCGTTTGCGTGATAGACTACTACAGCTGGAGGTAGTTTTGATGGGCTTTGGAAGGAAGATTAGCCCACCACGTTAATTAAATCTTTAGAGCCCACCATGCTAAATATCATTGTAGATCTACGGTTCTAATTTTACGACCCGTCTAATCAATGGTCAGATATTTCTGGTTAACATAAGAGCTTCTGGTTAACATAAGAGCTTCTAAAATGTACCCAATTAGTATAAGTAAAGATACTCTAAGAAATTACAAATTATGCTCTCGTATGCCAGCGGTATCCATTGATTTCGTAAATAGATTTTTTTTTACCTTAGCCTTTTAATGTTATTGATTGTGTTATATTTGCTACAAACTTTATTCCACATACTTAAAAGTTTCTAAAACATGTTAAATGTTTCAGAGCCAACATGATGAACTAGAAGTGAAGTTCTTCGAGGAAAAAGCTGCTCTAGAAGCTAAATATCAGAAGCTTTATGGACCATTGTACTCAAAGGTAACACATACTTTTTGTTGCAATGTAATGCAATCTGGCCTTACCTCACCTATCTTTCTTTTCAAAAAGAGATGCATGTTTTATGTACAGGCAACTCTCCTCTAAGAAACATATCTTGAATTATGTTTATGAGTTTTCAATATGATGTGCTGTTCTAGTGACCTTTTTTGTGCTTGCAAATTTCCAACGTTCTAAAATTGTGAGTGGTGTTCTTGAAGTACAAGGCGAGACCGAAGAAAGAGGTGATATATCATTCTTGTTCATACTATAGGTGTTCTGGGCACGTTTTGGGTTATTGATAGATTGGGTACCCTTTTAGTTTTTTCTATAATCTTGTCACGATGCTTCCATGCAGAGGAAAAGGGTGTTCCAGATTTCTGGCTCAATGCAATGAAGAACAATGAGATTCTTGCTGAGGAGGTGAGAGGCTTTTCTAGTTTGTAAATTCCCACTTTCCAAAGTTATCAATGTTTTTATGCTGTCATTAGAACTTGAGCTAATTTATTTGTTCAGTGTCCCGATTTGCTTAGTGCTGATGATTTTTGTAATGAATATTTTTTCCTTTTCCGCTGCCACAGATCCATGAGAGCGATGAGGAAGCTCTAAAGTACCTTAAGGACATCAAATGGTGTAGAATTGATGATCCAAAGGGTTTTAAGTTCGAATTCTTCTTCTATACAAATCCCTTCTTTAAAAATCAAGTGCTGACTAAAACATACCACATGATCGATGAAGATGATGAACCCATCCTAGAGAAAGCAATTGGGTATATATCATTTTGTTCCTGCAAATTTGTGTATTTGTTAGGATGAAAAAAATCTCTCTTGCATTTCCTATTTGAATTATTCCCTGACTGCTTTATTTTTTAGGACTGAAATCGAATGGCATCCAGGATATTGTTTGACACAAGAGGTGCTAACAAAGGAGAGTTCAGAGAGCACTAAACCTATAACAAAGACTGAAGAATGTGAGAGCTTCTTTAATTTCTTTAGCCCCCCTCAAGTTCCAGATGATGATGCAAAAATAGATGAAAATACCGTAAGTTGAACAAGTAATTATTCTATATACATTGATTCCTAAAACATTATGCCCAACTTATGGCCTTTTTGGTTGTTGCTTCTTAACAGGCTGAAGAATTGCAGAACCAAATGGAACGAGATTATGACATCGCGTAAGCTATTATGCTCCATTGCATTCTTAACCGATTAGAATTGGTTTTTTTATTTTTGGAAAGGAGAAGCGATTACTATTGTGTTATTATGCATGATGTATACTGAAACACACAATTCTTTAAATTATTTATGAACAACATACTTCATGTATATATTACCTGGTTATAAATTAGCTTGCCCATGTTGCCAGATCTACTCTCAGGGATAAGATTATACCACACGCTGTTTCTTGGTTTACTAGAGAGGCTGTTCAAGACGAGGATTATGGAGCTTCTTGGGTGGATGATGAAGAAGAGGATGACAATAATGATGAATATAGTGATGAAGAAGCATAAGACATTCAATTGTCGTTTGTTCTACTGGGGTATTAGAACTTTAGATGCTTTTATCTCCATTGTTATCCCTCTATTTTGAACGGAAGGCTAGCAGAGTTGCTGGACAGCAGGGTGAGCGACCTGCGGAGTGCAAGCAGCAGTAGTTTTTCTTTTTCTTTTTTTTTAATCTTAGTACTCCGAAGTCAGATGGAGTGAAGGATATGTAACTACTAAAAGTTGATTTTCTTTTAAAGAATACTAAAAGTTGATTTTTCAACTTTTCTATGTGCTTTTTTATTTTCTATGTCTAGATTGTTGTTTTCCCTGGTACTCTTCATTTAAGAAGCAAGAGGGCCAGCATAAATCAAGGTTGGCATGCACAAGAAATTTCCTGCCAAGAAAATAACGCAAGAAAATGCTTATATTAGACAGTCTTGACCATAATTTCGTAATTGCACTTGCATTATCTAATTAAAAGAGAAGAATAGGTTTCATTGTTTTTGACTAAATGATTTTTTAGGGGCAATATCTTGTCCAGAATAGGTTAAATGTCCACCATTGCTTTATTCCGTGGGCAACTGACTACTTTAAATTCAGCCACACTAGAAAAGTTCATAAAGCTATCACTGATGTGTGTTTGAGGCTTGTAAGAAAGAAGAACCAGCTTGCATGATTGAATAATCAGTAGTGACCACAGCATGTCCCAATATAGGTCCAGCCATTTTTTCTCATGATAATTATTAGCCTATCTTGTGTAATTCATGCAGAAAAAAATATGTAAACTTCTAGCAAGAGACGGCGAAAGACAAACAAATTGCTTCCAAGATAAATGCATGCGTCACTCTAGTACAGTTCTACTTGTACATTGGCAATTTAGATCCTCTTTTATTTTTCCACTTAAATACACATGAGAACAGAAGAGTATTAATCACTCTGAACAAGTGGGTCTGATGTCAGCGTCCACCAACTAATACACAAAGGTTATTTTCTTCTCGTTTTATTCTTAACATCTTTGTTTTATAAACATTATCTCGTTCCAAATCTCACCTCCTACCCTCCCTCCCCACCCACCACGAGGATCAGGGATGCGCATCATGCATCGGACAGTCCAAAATTGTACACGTGAAAGCTGGCCTGTGGGGCCACCGCGGCCAGGAAGATCCTGGCCATCGCTTCCTGTGACACCAACGCCGCTTCCTTCTCAACAAGCGCCGCTGCCACCACGTCTTCGGCGGCGGCGGCGCCCCCAGCGGCCACCATCCCTATGATGGCCGCCTGCATGGGGCCTAGTGTCGGATTATACGCCGCGGACTCCAGGCATATCCTCCGGCGTACACCCTACCTTCGCCATCCGCCACGGCGAATCTAGACGGGCACTCGCTGTATGGCGTGTGCGCCGCCCGCGCGGCCGCCTCTGCTGCCTCCCTCAAGCGTGCCTCTAGGTCACCGTTGGCGAAGCCATTGGTGATGACAGCGGTAGCGGGGTTGCCGACGAGAGGGCTGTCGTGTGGTTTGAGGACGAGAGGGACGTGCTTGGGGAGGAGATCATGGGGCCCAAAGGGACGCGGGAGGAGGGACGACACCGTGCGCCACTTGGCGTCGGAGGAGGTGACAATGATGCGGATCCCACCAGCGCCGCGGATCTCCTGGAGGAACTGGCGGCAGTGGCCGCAGGGCATGTGGGAGATGGCGATGGCGCAAAGCTTCGACTTCCCCACGGCGGCAGCGTTGACGACGAGGAACTGCTCGGCGTGGATAGAATGGGACAGCGGGAGGCCCCGGAACTCGAGGTTGACGCTGGCGTAGATGCAGCCACTCATGCCGAGACCCACGGCACCCACGGGGAACCGTGAGATCGGGACCCGCGCGCGCCGCATCGCAGAAGGGACAAGCAATGTGAAGCGTTTTAACAGGGTCCATCATTCAGAGAGTCTCATCCTGAAGCTTGCAAGTCTCTGAGCAGTTTCATACCAATTCCCTTAACACATCTCTCGAATGAGGAAGTAGGTAGGGATTTAGTGAAGATATCTAACAGATTATCATAAGATTTTGTCGGTAAGATGTTTATTTCTCCACTTTGCTGAAGCTCATGGGGATAAAACAACTTAGGGGCAATATGCTTGGTGATATTGCTCTTGATGTAACCTGTTTGCATCTATGTGATACAAGCAGCATTGTCTTCATAGATAATGGTAGGTGATTCTGAGGAACCAATACCACAAGATTGTTCAATGTGGTTTATCATCCTGCGGAGCCACACGCATTCACGTGATGCCTCAAACAATGCGGTGATTTCAGAATGATTTGTGGAGGTAGCCACTAATGTTTGTTTAGATGACTTCCACAATATGGCCGTTCCTCCATGGAGGAATACAAAACTTGTTTGTAATCTGGCGTTGTGGGGATCAGACATGTAGCCAGCATCAGTGTACCCAACCAAGCTAGGATAGGTACAAGCTAGGATCAACAGTTTTCTGAAAGAATAAGCCAAGATCCTTAATGCCATTTAGGTACCTGAGGATTTGTTTTCCTCCGGTCCAATGACGCTTAGTTGGAGCAGCACTATATCTTGCCAATAGATTTATCGCAATTGCAATATCTGGCCTGGTACTATTTGCAAGGTATATAAGTGCTCCAATAACACTGAGATAGGGATATTCTGGTCCTAATATCTCCTCTCCTTCCTCCCGTGGTCGGAAAATGTCATTTTCTTTATCGAGAGATCAAACATATGTTATATATCATATGTATGCAACAATCAGGATAATGATGATAAATCAAATAACAAAAAAGTTATCCGAATCGTACATATTACGAGAGATGGATTTAGCAGCACCAAACCATAATAGGAACAAATACTACACGGGAAAGAGTATTTGAAATAAAAAATCAGGAAAGAAGAAGATCATGCAGCATATGAATGGGGAGCAGACCTGTGTTTCTTAGAGGCACTGAAGAAAATGATTACAAAACTCCAAACCTGAAAAATTATAAGATCATCCATTAGGGTGAAAACGGAGCGGATTCGGATGGATAGTGGTCATACCATATCATATACCATTTTTTCAAAGTGGATGCCGAGCAGGTGCGGATGACGTGCAGATGCGGATACGAAGCGGATTATTTCGAACGTTGGATTCGGTTCGGAAACGGAACAAAATTATCAGATGTTAAGTTTGTATTCAATCCATACAACAAGAGGACAACAATACAATAAGCAGCAATACGATGGCAAAACAACATCTGAACATGATGGCAAAACAATAGTGACGGTGGATGGTAGTCGATCGACAGTGGACGGGCCTGTGGCGGCGCCGGCGCACGTGAGTGGGAGAGCCGAAGGGATTAATCAAAGGGATAGGGATAGCTGGATAGGAGGTGAAGAGATCAGAAGATTGAGGGTTTAGGTTAACAGAAATGGGCTAGATAGGCCGGCCGATGTAAAATAGGCTCAATTGTGTAGTTGTGTGGCCTGAAATATGCAGATTATCCGCCAATCGTCTATCGGATAATCCAATTAAAAAATCGGATAATCCGCATCCGTCGGATATCGATGATACCACATCCGCATCCGTATCCGACGGATATCTAAAAACTCTTACCGTATCCTTACTCCGATCGGATTCGGAGCGGATCGGATCGGATAATATCCGCTCCGTTTTCACCCCCATCATCCATGGCTGGTGTGCTTCTTGCATTACGCTGTCCGACGAGATGAAAGACCATGGGTTGTGACCGATTATGGTTAAATCGCGGATGAAACTTAAGAGGGAGTAGTATAAATCATTTGGGATGACCCTTCATGTACTATCTCTTTTATTGCTCGTAATTCCTCCTTTGGTAGCTTATAATTCTTTTTATTACTCGTAATTCCTCCGTTGGTGAAAGGAGGCCAAGCTGAAGCGGCAATAAATACGGAGAAGGAGCGATGATCGCTTTGATCATAGACTATTGCTATGGGCTTGGGCCAACAGAAGGAAGGATTTATGAGAGGCGCATGAGTAGAATGCGATGGCCTAATATTACCGAACCGTCAATCCAGAGACCTACAGAGAATCTAACGGCTGATATAATGTTGATGACGTGGCGAATCGAGGAGGCAGCTTTGGGTCTTAATTTTACAGAAAGAAAGGATATGGACATTAACTTGGAAGATCAAAATCAAGGAACACACGCGGATACATCCATATGCTCTCCAAACCTCGATCTGTCTCTTAAACACGATGAACACACACAAAGAGATCGATGATGATCGAATTAATAATCCATTAGAGGCAAGCGAGCTCCTTGAGGCACCCGGTGGACTTCCCCAGCGCGTGGTCGCAGACGGCCGTGGTCTTCTTGTCGCTGCCGCCGTACAGCACCCTGACGTCCTGCATCGCGACGCCGCTGCACGGCAGCTTGCCGGAGCAGAGCAGCTGGACGACCGCCGGCGTGTTGGACGACCCGGTGATGTTCCTGAAGGTGACGTCCCTGACGGACACCTTGGAGTCGCCCTTGCTGGTGCAGATGCTGTTGGGGCAGTACTTCTGGTCGATGATGATGGGGTTGTCGACGTGGTCCATGACGACGCCGTCGTAGGACACCTTGGACACGGTCACCGGCGACACGGAGTCCTCGTACGACTTGATCCGGAGGCCATTGGTGGTCTTGCGGAGGACGCAGCGGGTGACGGAGACGTCCCGGACGTCCCGCTCGTCCTTGTACCGGCCGAGGCTGCCGATGCTGATGCCGTGGCCGGGGCCGCAGGTGACGCCGGTGATGTTGACGCCGTCGGTGCCGGGGCCGATGGAGATGCAGTCGTCGCCGGTGCCGATGGTGGTGGCGGCGATGGTGATCTTGGAGGAGTCGCCCATGTGGATGCCGTCGGTGTTGGGGCTGTCCCCCGGGGCGTTGATGGTCACGCCGCTGATCTTTATGTCCTTGCACCGGTAGATGTTCATGTGGAAGAACTTGGCGTTCAGCAGCGTGATCCCGCTCACCACCCCGTCGTTCACCGTGTTCAGCACCAGCGTCTGCATCCATCAAACGCACCAAAAATGGTTCAAGGGCACGTAAAATGAGAAAATCATTAGCGCATGATTAATTGAGTTTTAAAATGGCTTTACCTGGTATTTTAAAGCAACGTCAATATTCGAAAGTTTTCGTACGAAAAATATATTACTCCCTCAATTTCAGATTATAAGTCGTTTTGACTTTGGTCAAAGCCAAACTACTTTAAATTTGATTGAGTTTATAGACAAATATAACAATATTTATAATACTAAATTAGTTTCATTAAATCAATAATTGAATATATTTTCATAATATATTTGTCCTGAGTTGAAAATGCTACTACTTTTTTTTTCTATAAACTTGGTTAAACTTAGAGCAGTTTGACTTTGTCCAAAGTCAAAACGACGTATAATCTGAAACAGAGGGAGTACCGTTTAGCAATTTAAAAAGTGTGCTAATGGAAACCGAGGTAACCGAAATGTGTATCATGATCAGAAAAGACAAGGCCTATTATATGTTTCATGATCTATTGATCCATATGCATGGTGTAACACGTACGTTGGGGAGGAGCTTGCAGTTGTAGTTCTTGGCGCAGGAGTTCTTGCTCCAGACGCCGGGGCCCTGGCCGTCGAGCTTGCCCTTGCCGGAGATGACGAAGTTGTCGACATGGCGGACCTCGACCCAGTTGGGCATCTTCTTGCCCGGGTACTTGCTGAGGTCGTTGGAGCCCAGCAGGTTGCCGTCGAGCTGGATGGTCACGGCGCCATTGCAGGGGCCCCTGAGCTCCATCGCCCCCGTCATGAAATCCCCCTTGGGGATCAGGATCGTCTGCTTCCCGGCGCCGGCGCACGCCGACCTCCACGCCGCCATCACCGCGCCGGTGCTGTCCGCCCTGCCGTTGCCGACGGCGCCGAGCTTGGTGATGTCGAACGTGCCGCCGGGGCCGGCCGCCACCGCCGCCGCCGCCCCGTAAACGCCCTGAGTGATCTCCTCGGGCTTCTTGCTGTGTCCGTGCGCGTTGGCGTAGGTAGTCACCATGAGGAGGAAGAAGAAGAGGACCATGGCAGCGTCATGGTTTCTGAAAGCCATTTTTTTCTTTTTTTTTAATTATTGACCGCCGGTGCTTCTCTCTCCGGCGAACTTGAACGCCGGCCGGCATGCACATATATATAGTGGTGGTGGCGACAACAAGATTTTGCTATGTCTGTGGCATGCAGGCATGTGTTGGCCTTTTGCTATTTTCAGGCCATGGCTTGGTTGGCTGGCGGTTGAGCATTGCTATGGTTCCCCATATCGGAAGAGGCTCCTCTTACATACGTTAGAGGGATATGAGCCACTGACGTTCATGAAGGTGAGGTCCACCTATCAGGGATCCACGTTTTTTTTTACTTTACTTCAGAGGAATTTCGTCTGTTGGCGTCCCCATGTTGCCTAATCTTAGTTTCAGTCCACTCAAAAGGTGTGGCTCATCAATTTATGCAAATTGGTATTTAAAGATTGTATTTATAGCATGCTATTTCAATTTATACCTGATTTTAGTTTTAGAGAAAAAAAGACTCGGTTCAATTTCGCACTATTAATAAATGTGTTGTAGGGTGTAGATCTCTTGTGGCCTCCGGACCTTGAAGATGTGCTGGAATTCAAATTGGGGGATGAAGATCGTTAGCATTCTAGTATGAAAAGTTGATGTTAAGGAAATATCAATGAATAAGTTATTAGAACTCTTTGCAACTTTCAGAAAACTAGGGCCGACAACAAAAACACAACTTATACATATAAAGTTTTGGATGATCTCGCTATACAATCAACTATTAAAAATTATTTTAAAAATTGTACAATTACTTCCCATACTAGTATACTACTCTCTCTGTCCGCAAAAAAATCGATTCCTGGGGTGGGGTGTGGTTGTCCCAAAAAACTAATTCCTGTAAAAAAAAGATACACATTCAATACCGCATGGGTGCTCGAGAAGGAGTCAGAGGGCCTCAACTTTTCTTTTCTCCGGTTCACACGGCAATCTTTTCCCCTCCCTCTCATTTGGCTTCTCTCTCCCTCTGCCTCCTCAGTTGTTCAACTCAATCTCTCCCTTCAAATTTGCCCCTCTTTCCACTCCTCTCTGCAGGGATGGCGGCGACGACAGGAGATGGATGCGGCGATGATGGTGGCGGTGAAGGCGGTGGCAGATCAATGCCGTGGTGACGACGGTGGCAGATCGATGCCGCGGTGACGACGGTGGCAGATCGATGCAGCGGCAACAATGGGAGATGGATGCGGTGGCGGATGGATGCGGCGGCGATGGTAGGGGCATATTGTTGTGATGCAGGAGGTGAAGGTGAAAGTTTGCAAGCCTATATGTGGCAGATCTGATTCAAGAACTTGATTCCATTTTTTCCCCTCTATTCTTGGTTCTTCTCTGTTCTTTGTTCTTGGTGTAGTTCTTGTAGGTTGTTCCCTTTCTAACGGCAAATGTAATCTTTTCTTGGGCAAATGCAACTCAATTTTAATGTGTGTGCAGAGAATGGCAGTGTTGATGGATGAATGCAGTTAAGGATGGTACTTTGGTAATTTCACGTTAATACTAAACTTGCCTCGGGGATCTAGGAATAGATCTTTTTTGACAGATGGGGGTACTAATCATTTTTCCCCTACTTTGTACAATATGTATAATGTATCTGAAGTGAAAACTTTATATGTACGTGCATGTTATGTTAAAAGTACATAATTTTATAAAATTATATGTACACTATGTTAAAAAAATTATGTAGGAATTTATAGAATTCTTGTGATATTTATTTATTGGTGTGAACAGTGAGTACACCCAAAGCTTATGTGCACATATGATATATTTCCATGACACTGTTGAGAACATCAATGCAGATTTGTCAAGAAAAAACAGAAGGTGAGGGGAATAGCAAAATCCCTTCGTCATTAAAAAACCAACCCAATATGTTATGTTTTTGGTTCGTTTTTTAAGATGGATGGAGTACTTCATATGTTCCATTACAGGGGAGAACAAGATGTCCCCATAATTAAGGATCAATCTCGTCATCGGTCGTTTACAAGAACCAAAATTTCGTCCACGCCAACTCTCTGTGACTGTACGCTATATAGAAAGAAAACAAGAAAGTGAAAAAAGAAAAAAAAACAGAAAACAGATTTTCATATGCAAGGGGGCGGCACAAGCGTCCCGCCGGCGACGCCTCCGGCGACGTTGGCGCACCGCGACACGGTGGCCACCCCTCGCCTGACGTATCTGAGGTCGATGTCCCTGAGCTCCACCCCTCGGCACGGGCTCGCCGCGCTGCACGACAGCTTCACCGCCACCTGCGTCGCCGACACCCCCCTGATGTTCCTGAACTTCACGTCGCTGATCCTCACCACCGACGGCCGCCGCTCCTGTGCATGTCAATGAATTCCTCCGGTGAGCCCAGCCATAGACAAAAACTTAAGATTTACTCCCTCCATTTCAGGTTATTTTGACTTTAGTCGAAGTCAAATTGTTTCAAATTTAACTAAATTTATAGATAAGTATAGTAATATTTATAATATTAAATTAGTTTCATTAAATCAATAATTAAATATATTTCCATACTAAATTTTTTTGGGTCGAAAATTTTACTATTTTTTTCCTACAAACTAAGTCAAAATTAAAATAGTTTGATTTTAACCAAAGTCAAAACGTTTATAACATGAAACGGAGGGAGTATTTAAAAAGATCTTTGTGTGTGTGCTCTGACCGATTGATGGTGGCAGGAGAGATAGGGGCAGTACTCCTGGTCGATGATGATGGGGTTGCGGACTCTCCTCATGACGATGTCCTCGAAGACGAGGCCGGAAACGGCGGCGGCGGCCGCGGCGGCGGCGGAGCTCCGCTGGCCGCCGCGCCACGTCTTGATCCGCACGCCGTTGGCCGTGCCGGCGATGGTGCAGTTGGACACGCGCAGCCGCCGCACGTCGGCCTCGCCGGGGCTCCGGCCGAGGCTCCCCACGCTGATGCCGTGCCCGGGGCCGCACGACACGCCGGACACCGTCACGTCGGCGCTGCCGGGGCCGACGGAGACGCAGTCGTCGCCGGTGGCGACCGCCGTGTCGGTGATCCGGACGCCCGTGGAGCCCTGGATGTGGACGCCGTCCGTGTTGGGGCTGTCGCGCGGGGCCCGGATGCTGACGTGGCTCACCTCCACGTCGTGGCTCCCGACGATGGTGACGTGGAAGAACTTGCTGTCCAGTGACGTCACACCCGTGATGGTCGCGTTCCTCACGCTCCCCAGCTTGATGGACTAAGCACACACATAGTAAATTTGAGTCATAAAAAAAAATATTTTAAGCCAAACGCTCACAATACTCGAAAGAAAAATAAATAAAACCATATATGTGGTGTGTGAGTGAGTGCGCGCGTCTTGTCTGATTTATTCAGCGGATCGTTGTTATGGATTATCTACACCATAAAGATAAATTAATTTTTTTCATAAATAATAAAACAAGTGTTGTAAGTAATACAATAGAAGAAAGTTTTATTTTAAAAAAATATATTTTTTGAAGCATAAAGCAAATAATCCATTTTAATATAATTTGAAAAGAAAAAAATTTACACGTACATGATAATTTCATTGTGTACTTATATGATCCGTCAAAACCTGTTTGAAACACGAGGTTCTTATTGCATTGTTCAGATTGAATTTTCGACACCCGGCACCGCGTAACTTCAAAACTTACTGAGGGAGGAGGCACGCAGTCCGGTTTCCAGGGACAGTCATTGAGGTGCCACGACGACGCGCCGCGGCCGTCGAACGTGCCGCCGCCGGTGACGAGCAGGCCGTCGATGCCGGCGAAGTTGATCCACTCGTGATACCCCCGGAACGCGTCGAGGCCGGCCGGCGCGCGGACGACGCCGGCGACCCGCACCTCGACGAACCCCTTGCAGGGTCCCCGGAACACCACCGGGTGGAGCAGGTAGCCACCGCCGCCACCGCCGCCGCCGCCGGCGGCGGGCACGACGACCGCCGCCCTCCCCGGCGCCGCGCACGCCTTCGCCCACGCCCTCTCAAACGCCTACACAAAAAAAAAACACAAAATTAATGAAATCTTTCAAAATGTTGACAATTCAGATTTGATTTGAACAATTTGAGCAAATTAGTAACCAAGTTGCAGCGATTAATTACCTTGGAATTATCTGTCTGTCCGTCGGCGACAGCGCCGAAGTCTCTGACATCGAAGACTAATTGGCGAGCAGTACAAGTAGCCTGTAGCCACCACCAGCTAGTGATGATCAGAGAAGACATGGTAATTTGTAACAGAGGTGTCATACTGTTTGTGTGTCAAAACTGAGAAGCAAAGGTTTCTGCATGCAGGTTTCACCATATTTATATGAGCATCTAATTAACAGGGCTAATCTAGCTAACAGCTAGTAATATATATTTGCAAGGCCGGTGAGGAACTTGTCATGCATTATGATGGCCTTCCCTGTAACGCATTCTTGGAACTGGGTGATTGAATACTAGTGTTTGTTAGGCTACTGCTCTTGCCATGATCCCCAAGTTTTTATGGGTTTTTAACCTTCTTTCATGGCTAGATTGTCTCACACACTGCCAACTTCTAGCAGGGGCTAGCAGTTAGTTAACACACCATGATGGTGGTCACTTTGTCAGGCAGGTAGAAACACAGCAATGCTGTCTGATGGTGATCATAACTGCCAAAGATTTTTCACATTAATTTGCCACATTTTGAGGGCTCTTTAGAACAGAGGAAAAACATAGGATTTTCGAAGGACTAAAATCTTCTGCAAAAACCGTATGACATCCTTTCGAATAAAGGAACAGGCCTAATAATTGCTTTCCTGTATCCTCATTCTACAATAATTCTAGCGTGAGCTCATGCCTCTTATTTTACTTTTCTTTGCTATAAGTCCAACGTTCAATTCCCTAGATTTCTTCTCTCTGTTTCCACAGGCCGGTGAATCATTCAAACATTATTTCTTGTATTTCTTTGTTTTAAAATCATGTAGTACATGCATAGCCATAGCATGTGGTAATCTATTCATTATCTAAAAAAAATGTGGCAATCTATTTATATGTTTTTCTTGTTCATCCATTTCGAATTCGATAATTCGAAAGAGCTCTGAAGTTTTTTCAAAAGAATACTTGGCATGATCTAAATCTAATGGTTTTGGTGAAGTTCTTGCCACAAGTAGACATCATAAAAAGACAAAAGGTTTATTTTGTGAAAGCCTTAGCAGTGTTAGTGGGACCACAGGTGGAGCGCTCGATCGGGGAGGCGGAGGTGGCAGTGCTTTGTGAGGAGCTCGCCTCACACGTGTTGTGGGGAATAGGGGTGGGAAAAAATACCTAAAATTGAAGGCCGAACCACACCAAATTATCGGTTTTTTCGGCCTTTGATTTTCTCTTTTTTTTAAGGTCAAAAACCGAAGGCCGAAAACCGTACACACCAAAACCGAGCAGACAAGTACTCATTTGTTTTCTCCTGTGAACCCATGGCCCAACATACACTCATAAGGCCCAACTTTACCTTATCCATCCAGTCCTTTGTTACTCCACTCTTACCCCTGTTGCTCCTAACCCTTGCGCCGCTAGACGCACTGCCGCACTGGCCATGGCGAGATTGCTATTGGGCGATCAGTCGCGCGCCTCCCTCCCCACGCGACTGGACACGTGTCGCGCGCGGAGAGGGGGCGGCGACGCGCCGCGAGCGAGTTTTTCGTTTTTTTTTGTTTTTTCCCTTTTTTTTCGTTTATGTTTGTTTTGTTTTTTTCTCCGGTTTTTTCTTTTCTGTTTGGATTTTTTTCTCCGGTTTTTTCTGGTCGGTTTGTTTTTTCCCGGTTTATCTTCTTTCGGTTTTTTCTCTTTTTTTTTAAGATGTATAAATACAAAGTTTGTATTCGCATATATACCAAGTTTGTATTCGTACGTATAGAACTTTCTATACGCGCATACAAACTTTGTGTATGTGTGTATATATTTTTTATGCATTAAAATATATTCGTACACACACACAAAAGATGTATACCGTACCTAGGAGAGACTAGAGGGGGTGACTGACCGCGCGCCTCCGCGCGCGCGCGGCTGATCGCGTATCAGCGACGAAGTGCCGAACGCGCTCGTTGCATACGACGACTCGTATGATACGAAGCATCCCCGTTGGTCTCCAGTCTCCACCAGTGAATCACCGCGGCGGCTCTAATTAATCAGATGGATACCACTGCTTGGGACAGAAGTCTTGGCGATCGAGCAATCTCACCGGCAAGCACATGCTTTGAGTAGTCTTTGATTTGGCGTTTCTAGTCTTTGCTGTTGATTTCTTTTTCTTTTTGTTGTCCGATGGCAATTAAGCCATGTATTGGTATTGCCATGGGAAGGACTACGTTCACGAACAACGTCACTGTTGTTGCTTCCTGGCTAAATCTCCTAGTGCGATATGAACTGATGAATGGATCAAAATCAACTTCGGTGTATACCGGTAACCGAATAAACCGCATCGAATTGTTTTTGGTTTATTTTCCTCGGGAGTGACTAGGGATCGGTCATCCGATCGAAAACTTCAAAAATTGACGTCAGCGCCCGATTTACGTGCAAAATTATTTTAAACTGATTTTTTTCTTAAATTATTTGTCCAAATCATAATCCGATTGTACCATTAAACTCGTTACAATTAAATCTTCAAAACAAGACCACACATGGATATATTCCGACGAATTTTTTTTAGCTTATTATTGTATTATTTTAAAATTGTTTGCACAATGTTCCACTAGGTATATTGGAATTGTTTCACTAAGTAGATTGAAAATGTTTCACTCGTTTAAATCGGGTGTTGTTTCACCTTATATAAAAACAATGTTTTAGTAAATAACGAAAGAATGTTTCAATTCACTGCAACATTAGATCTATACATAGTGAAACATTGTGAGTACACTGGGTGAAACATTTTTCGGTTAAACAAAAAATAAACCAAATTCCCTTAATAGGGGGTTTCCAAAATATGTGGGTTTTTTGTTGCAATAGAATGTTTCGTTCACTGCAACATTAGATCTATACATAATGAAACATTGTGAGTACAGTGGGTGAAACATTTTTGGTGGAACAAAAAATAAACCAAATTCCCGTAATAGAGAGTTTCTAAAATATGTAGGTTTTTTGTTGCAAAAGAGTATTTTAATTCACTGCAACATTAGATTTATAAATAGTGAAACATTGCAAATACAATAGATGAAACATTTTTGTGAAAAAAGGGGAGAGAGAAGTGAGTGGGCCCTGTATAGGCCCGTGGAGGGAGGGGCACGGGGGGAGCGCCCGATCCGGCTCCCCCCGCGCTGGGCGCCTGACATCAAGCATTCTCGATTTTCCTCGGTTTTTATTTTTTAAAAGGGTAATTTGGCTGCCAGTTTTGAGAAACCGAGATTCTGGTAAACCGAAGAAACCGAAGAGAGGGGCTAGAGAAAGGTAAGGTTCATGTGATATATTAAATCTTGATACAATCTGAGCCATAAGGTTCATTCGATAATTCGAAAGAGCTCTGAAGTTTTTTTCAAAAGAATACTTGGCATGATCTAAATCTAATGGATTTGGTGAAGTTCTTACCACAAGTAGACATCATGAAAAGACAAAAGATTTATTTGTGAAGGCCTCACCAGTGTTAGTGGGGCCACAGGCGGAGAGGGGGCTCGCCTCACATGTGTTGTGGGGAGGAGAGGGGCTAGAGAAAGGTAAGATTCATGTGATATATAAATCTTGATACAATCTGAGCCATAAGCGACTGAATATTTGGAGGTAAATTGGGAAACTATTTCGATAAAAAAAAAATCTTCGTGTGTCTGTGTGTTTTCCTACTTGGCGAAACTTATTCAAGGTGACCCAAATTTAACAAAGAAAATGGGGAAATATTTTGACCGAAAAGCTATGTTTTGTGTTTTTCTACTTAGCACAACTTATTCAAGCTTGCCAAAGCTTGTTAAGAAAAAAAATATCAAAAACTCCGGGCCAAAGTTTTCCGAAATTTCCAATGCACCTAAAATCTTTATTTCTGTTCTCTTCTATTGGAGGTCCACCTGTTCCTGGCCCGTACAAGGGCGTGGGGCGACATGGCAGTATGGTTCGAAATTCCAGAGCGAGATTTCCGAAATTTTGGTTCTATCGGACCTCCAATACGATATCATTTCGGCTGAAATGTCTAATTCTTTATTTGTTAATTTGGTAATCTTTTATTCAAATTTGATAGATTTTGTTTAACATTCAAATAATTTCGGACCGAAATTTTTAAAATTTCAGTATATCGGCACACCCGATACAAATGCCAAAATCGAAATATTTAGCCCTGCACGGCAGTATCCTCGCGCGGCTGCCAATTGCCCAAAGCGGCGGCGGTGTGCGGGCGGAGAGGTAGGCGATCGACGACGACGACGTCCTGGCATGTGCATTGGGTTGGGAGAGCCAACGAAAGGCGCTAGCTGCCTCGTACATTCCCGACACCGCGTAGCACGAGGCCGGCCTCAAAATGGCGCGCCGGTGCATCATGCGCATCGGATCGACGCCGGCATGCAGCTGTGGCCTCGCCGAGATGGGTGAGTAGGCAGGTATGTAGTACGTGGCGTCTGAATGGCGGCTCCGATCTGAATATATGATCTGAATCTGATCCCGAGTTGGATCCCCATGTCGCCTCCTGGCAGGACACACCTCCCGGCATTCGGGACTTGACCTCAGTGCCATCAGTGAGACAGAGGCAGCAGGCGTTCATCATCCCAACTCCTCTGATCTCCTCCTCCCAAACTCGATCGATCCAACAAGTCATGAGCTGATCTCTCTAGCTAACTAGATCAGCTCTTTGATCGATTATTGATTGATCCATCATTTGGGAGCCTAATTTAGTACTTCCTCATCGCCCTCTCACCAGCTATAAAAGGGAACCGTGGCAAATGCACTTTGCGTATCAGAGCAATCTTAGCCAGCTAGCCTACTTCGACCTACTGCTCTTGTTCCTCACACACATTAGCACTAAATTTTGCAGCTGCACAATGGCAACCGCTGAGGTTTGAATATCTCTTCCCTAAATTTTCCTTTTTACTGTCAGCAATCAGCATACATGATATTACATGCGTGCCAATCACGAACATATATATGTCAGTCAAAAAAGCTAGATGTATCATACCTGTTTTGTCTTTAAATTAGGTCATTATTTGGAACATGAAAAAAAATCTTTTCGGGAAAAAAGGAAAAGGGGTATATTACTCAGTTAACTAGTGAGAAGAAATTAGAACAGTTATCCGGCCAGAACTCTGTAAGAGAACAACACGTCAACACCGGCCTCTGTTAATGCCGGAATTGAAATAAGTGGCAGAAGCAGCTTTAAAATATAGATGGGGCAACAGAGCTAGCCCTAATTAAGTGATAGCACAACGCACACAAACCATAGTCAATGGTTCACGACATTGGCGCAATAGCGTATGGCACGAACATCGAGAAAGTTAACAACGAATATGGGTAGTCGAACAAACGTATATGACTTGTATGTAGAGAGATGAAAAAAAATGAGAAATGTGGTTAGACAACAAAGGGAACCAATTTCAATAGTTTGGGGGTATGAAACAAGATGAAAAATTATTTAGGGGTTTAAGTGCTTCGCCAAAATAGTTCAAGTGAGTAAAATGGATTTTTTTATATATTTACCAATTTAACTATTTACTGTTGACTGTATTATATGCTAAAGAAATAGAAAGAAAATTAAATTTTATGTATGGCCAAAATCATAAACGGTCACAATGGTATTACTTATACACGAATTTTCATAAAAGTTTTTGTCCCTACTTAAAATACTTGATTTATCTGATTATTAATTCAACAGTATACTGATGACTAATATGTTAGAAATAGGACTAAAATGAGGTTTAGGGGTGTGGGGCGACACGGACCATAGTTGGGCCGGCCGACTCACCCTGCCCAACGGGTGTGTCCGCCACTGATTGAAATGTCCCTAGCAAAATCACGTGAAATTCCATCTCCTAATTTCCTGTCGATGTGTAGGTTCAGCAAGTGGTTCCAGCAGCCGCCGTGCACGACGACAACAACGGCCGCGACGTCCACGACACGCCCAACACCAAGGTAGCAGGAGAGGAAGAAGAAGGAGCACCTCTTGCAGTTGCAGAGGACGAGCTGCACAACAATGGCGGCCCCAACTCCAAGGAACAGGAGATCGTCGTGATCACCAAGGAGCAGGAAGCCGCCGCCATCACCGTCGTCGTTGACGACACCGCAGACGGCGACGGCGACGGCGACGGCGGCGGCCATGATATCGCGCATGAGGTAGAAGCCAAGCTCGCCGTCGAGACCCCTCCTGCTGCTGCTGACGCGAAGGAGGCGGAGCCCGAGGAAGAAGGAGGAGGAGGACGACGCCGTGTGCAGGCAAAGAAGACGACCGAGAAAGCGGCGTCCAAGGCGGCGATCGTCCCCGTCAACGACGACGACGACGATGATCAGGCTCACGAGGATGTCGTCGTCGCTGCGCCGGTGGCTGCTGAGCATCAGGAGACGGCGGAGGCGGCGGCGGCGGCGGCCGGCGAGGAGGAGGAAGCGCCGGAGGACAAGGAGGAGGATGCGTGTGAGAAGAGCAAGGTTCATGAGGAGTAGATCGCTTGGGTTTTTTATCGTATGGTGTGCACGCGCGTACGTACGTGTCCTTTGTTATCTTAGTACTTGTCGAAATGCTTTGCACGCACAATATGCATATTATCGTTATAGTAGTAGCTAAGTTAATTAATAAGGCAGTTAATCTGCTAAAGTCATTAAGTTTAAGTAATTCGATGAAGTTAACTATAGTAACGTTGATATATACGCGTCTTAGTGTCAACTATGTTGTGTACTCGTGTTTACTAGTAAAAGGGATCATTAGCGTTCTTGCAGTACTATCTACGAAGCTATTTCAAACACCATTATGATGTTTTACCTAATGTTACAATCTTACTTATATACTATGTGATGATTATCATGGGATGCTTCATTTGATAATCTTAGAAATTGAATTCTTCATGCTAAAGTGGCTTACAATAACTTCGCCTTTTGCTAAAAATTACCATTGTTTAACGGGTGATGTGGGCCGAAAATCCAACGGGCTTGGGCCTTACAAAAAAGAGGGAAGACGTGGGCTAAGTGCAAACATGGCCCATGGGCCGCCACAAAAAGGTCTCCTCACGGAAAGGAAACCCTTTGCGCACACGGGCATTCGACGCGACGCCAAGCTCGGACTCGGAGAAGGGGCGACGGCGCGCGCGGCGCGCCACTCTCGCGCCCGCGCCGCGGCATCCTCGGGCCACGATGCCCCCGTCCGCGCCGGCGCACCTCGCCGTCCTCCGCCTCCTTGACTCCGGGGACCTCGCGGCCGCGGCGCGCCTGGCGGCGGCAGGAGCGGGGCCCTCCTCCTCCTCCTCCCCGTCCCCGGTCTCCCTCGCCGCCGTGCTCCTCCGCCACCCGCCACCGCGCCTCGGCTGCTGCCTCCACGGCCGCGCGGCCCGGGCGGGCCTCCTCGCGGACCGGTACCTCGCCAACGCCCTCCTCGCCTTCTACGTCCGCCTCCCGCGCCACCTCCCGCACGCGCTCAGGGCGTTCGACGACCTGCCCCGCCGCGACGTCGTCGCGCACTCGTCGATCCTCGCCGCGTTCCTCCGCGCGGGGATGCCCCGCCGCGCGCTCGCCTCCCTCAGGGACATGCTCGCCGGCGCCGACGACGACGTCTCGCCCAACGCCCACGCGCTCTCCGCCGCCGTCAAGGCCTGCGCCGTGCTCCGGGACCGCAATGCCGGCGCGTGCCTCCACGGGAGCGTCCTCGTTCGGGGATTCGGCGACGATGGCGTCGTGCTAAGCTCTCTGGTCGACATGTACGGTCATGTGGCCGCGCCCGGTGACGCGCGGAAGGTGTTCGAGGAAATGCGTGCACCGGACGGGATATGCTACACGTCGTTGATATCCGCATTTGTGCGGAATGATTGGTTTGAGGAGGCCGTGAGGTGGTTCCGATCTATGCTAATGATGAATGGGGTTAGGCCAGATGGCTGCACTTTTGGTTCGATGATGACAGCACTGGGGAACTCGAAGAGGGGGAGTCAGGGGAGGCAGGCACATGCTCAGGTGGTGACCCGTGGTCTGTGTGGGAATGTGATCGTGGAAAGCAGTACGCTGGACATGTACGCCAAGTGTGGGTTGATGGTGGAGGCTCGCAAGGTGTTTGACAGGATGCAAGTTAGGAATGAAGTTTCACGGTGCGCGCTGCTCGGAGGGTATTGCCAGAATGGGGAGTACGAGAAGGTCATTGCATTGTTCAGGGAGATGGATAAGGAGGACGGTGACTGGTATAGCTTGGGGACTGTTCTGCGGGCATGTGCTGGCCTATCTTCAGTAAAGCCAGGTAAAGAGATCCATTGTCGGTTTCTGAGGATGGCAGGGTGGAGAGATGTGGTTGTTGAATCTGCACTTGTGGACCTATATGCAAAATGTGGCGCAGTGGACTATGCATATAGTGTTTTTGAAGCAAGCACTGTCCGTAACACAATTACTTGGAATGCCATGATAGGTGGTTTCGCGCAGAATGGCCATGGTGAACGAGCTATCAATTTGTTCAATCGGATGGTCAGGGAAGGGCCCAGGCCTGACTATATCAGTTTTATTGGTGTTCTTTTTGCCTGTAGTCATACTGGAATGGTTGAGCAAGGAAGAAACTACTTTAACTCTATGTGCAAGGACTATGGCATTGCCCCTGGAATTGAACACTACAATTGTATGGTTGACCTTTTCAGCAGAGTAGAGCTTCTTGAAGAGGCTGAAGATTTGATAAACAAGTCACCTTTTAGGAATGATTCTTCTTTGTGGGCCGATATCCTTGGTGCTTCTGCAACACATTCTAACCCAGATGTAGCAGAAAGGGTTTCAAAGAAAATGATGGAATTGGAACCGCAGTATCATTTGAGCTACATTCTTCTTGAAAATGTGTACAGAACAGTAGGACGATGGGAAGATGCTTTAGAGATTAGAAGGCTGATGGAATCGAGAAAGGTGAAAAAGGAACCTGGAATGAGTTGGGTTGATGCTAACAGAAGCAAACTGCATGTATGCAATAGTAATGAGGAAGTTTCGGAACTTGTAACTTCTATTGAGATGGATATTTCTTAGGACAGTCCATATAATTTTCACGGTTCTGCTTAGTTTCCAATGAGATGGATAGAGAATAAGACAGCCTGTATAGTTTTCATGGTTTTGCTTTTCTTAGTGATTCTGAGCTCTGAGTTAATATTCATGTGCCATTTCTGAAATCTGAACTGCTGGGAGCCTGGATGAATACTATCATGTATTACTCTAAGAAAAGGTCCTGCATGATCTGCCACTGAAAACTGACACCAGCTTGCACAGTGCAAAATTCATCCCATCAATTGGTAGGAAACAGGAATAATCACCTCAGAAAAAACAGTATAATCCAGTTTACAGCGTTGGTTAATGCTGGTCCAACACCATAGACTTTGTAGATGTGGTAGGCTAGGACAGGATGACCTCAACTACCATGGAGATGGAACTGTCAGACAAGCTGTCCACAACTATTGGCTTCTTCCACGGGTAAGTATTGCTGTACTTGGCTTGATGATCTGTTTTTTATGTTTCCCTTTTTTCTGGCCTTATCAATCTGAAATACTAGCCTGAATTACAGGTATTTAGCATAACAGTTGCGAAGAAATTTGATGTCTTAGGATCCAAAGCTATTTAAAAATGTGAGGCTAAGTTAACTAGTTTTAGTTACCCCGTTGCAAAGACCTTTTGGTGTATTTTTAGGATAGCTTTATATACTACTATGTTCCATGGCATATGTTTGTCTTGATAACAGGGATATATTGGCCAGTTCTTTCAATCGTTTCTTTTATTCTCATGGAACCAAACATTATTGGTTGTTGCAACAATTAGTACATAATTCCCTTTTGTGCCGAATATTAAGGATCACAGTTTTTCTCCATTCACTTGCTTTATGACACAAATAGGACATCTGTTTTTTTTTCTCCTTAGACACTGATATGACATGATGTAGATGTCCATACTATACACTCATTTCTTGGTTTAGCACGTGCTCATCTCATGATTTCCACACTTAATTGCTAATGATGATATTTGTAAGTTCAGGGGTACCTATCTGAATTACTTGTTTCTTGTCAGGATCCATGAAACCATCAAGGAGTTGATATTTGGCTCATGGTCAACAAAATAACCTTTTAAGGGAAATCTGTTGTGAGCTTGACCTGATCACAATCCACTACCGAATTGCTGATAAGGAGCTTATACTCAACATATTTGACTAAGGAGTAGTGGATGATGTTGATAATTTGATATGACACTCTCTCGTTGCGTGGCTGTGAATCCTGTGACCAAATGATGTAGCACAATAACAAGAGGATCTGTTGGTAGTACGTACTAACAATGACAATGATACTGTCTTGCAAGATCTAGCCTTGGAAGTATTCATGTAATCATATTCAGATGCAGTTGGCCTTAATGGATTTTCCCCAAGATCTCCGATTGCCATTTCCTTTTATCTGTTGATTGGCATGTTGGTACTTGAAGAAACAGTGGAGACACACGTCTGGCCTACCTATGTCAATGATGCTTCATACCTTCATCTTAGATCTTGCCATCTTGGTGCAGGAGTGCATGCTTCCATCTGTTAGACTTCTCCTAGGTTTACCCTTGGTTCTCCTGCTACCACAATTGTAACTTTTACCTGTAATCCTACATTCCCATGCTCTTTTACACGCTAACCTGTTTTTGTCATTTGGTTTTCTCCATTTGATCAGCCGGTATTACCATATGTGCTGGATTGATTGATCTTAGGCGCGCCACGAGGAAATTCCATCTGCCAGAATTGGATGAAGCGGAGTCAAACCGGTAAGAGCTCTGCCCCTCTATTTTCGGTCCCCTACTTAAACCCATAAATTTAGAACAGGTCGAAATTTCCACCTTCAACAGATCTTGATCTGAGGCCATGCTGTTGTGCTGGTGGATGAACCGACACTTCCACAGCAATCAGCAGTCGCATTGCATTTGCACGCATTTAAGTACATGTAGCTATGAATTTGAGACCTTGAAGCTTTGTTTAACATGTGCGGGCAGACATTGCATCAGAGTAAAAAAATAATGCTCCTAAAGTATTTTACCTCTGACCCTTTTTGCACAGATTAAAAAAATTCTTCACTGTAGTACGAATAAAATACTGCGGTTAATTAGGCTTTGCTTGCTTGGTTTGTTCTATGATGATACTGAACTAAAGCAGCCAGGATGATTTGATAGTTACATCTTTATGTCAATAGGCTTGCCTTGTTAATAATTTGTTCTTTTGGGGTGATGGTTCATTGGCTCGTGCAAGTGTTTGCATGTTATTCTCACATAATACCTACTTGAGCTAGTGATCTCATGAGCTTCCGTACGTGGTGATTCCCTGTGTCACTGTGTGCAAATCGTGTCGGCATGGGGTTTCTACCATGATAGGCCAGAAAGGCCAGTCGACACGGCTTGCACCATTGCCGTTGGGAAATGGAGACCGGCACAGTACTTGTGTCGCCTCTCAGGACGGTTTCTTTGTGGGCCTTGATGCGGAAACCTAGCGTTAGCTGGGTACCGAACCTGACGTGCTTTGTTTATTTGTTATGTGTACCGTTTTCGCAAGATATGCACACTCAGGTGATGGTCAAATGTCTTTAGCGAGCCACTAAAATCTGTTAAGCACGTGCTCACAAACTTTGTTGTGGAGAGAGAGGGGCCAGGGGAAATTAGTGAGGATTTTTTTTTATATGATGTTTGTTATTTATATGGGATAATAACTAATTCTTCCATCCTAAAATATAACTATTTCTAACGTTCAAATTTTGTCCTAGAATATACTATGGGGTGTTATTTATATGGGATAATAACTAATTCCTAATCTCAAAATATAACTATTTCTAACGTTCAAATTTTATCCTAGAATATACTATGGGGTGTTTTTAGTGGTGCAAGGCCTATAATACACTTCTTTTCCACTCATCCCCAGCACCCTCTCGAAACGACCACCATTGGTGAAGAGCATTTTAGTCTTTTCATCATAATCCTTAGTCTGTTCTAAAAATTTTAGAACTAAGCTATATTCTGAGATGAAGGGTGTGTTCGGCTGCAAGTTTCTAACAGCTGCTGCTGCTGCACTGCGTGTATGCGGCTGCGGCGCACAGCCAAATAGCCCTAGCCACAGCTACAGCTGCAGCCAAAAAATAGCTGCCGAACACACCCGAAAGAGTAGTATTTATTACTTGCGAATAGAAATGATGAAAAAGTGGCATCTGACAAAGTATAGTTAGGGAAGATTAACAAGTGAGGATAAGGATTGGCGTGGAATTAGAAAGTTGAGGGGAGGAATATGATGCTTACACCCAAGAGCAAGCAAAACCAACATTTTAGGCTGGGATGAAGCAAGCCATGTGACCCTTCAGTAAAAAAAAAAAAGGGTGCACGTCTAGAACCTTTATTTCCGGACCCTTCCAACATTCTTTCCTGCTGACATTTTTTTCCCTCTCGAAATGCTAAGCTCACACAAGCCAGTAAACCACTGCTATCTCTCGCCGACACACTGCAGTCTGGTCTAACAACCAAAATCTGTACTATGTACAGTACGGCTGCCCTAGCACCCAATCAACCAACTAATGGGATGTCTACTTGTGGACAACCACACCAACGTAATAGAACACCTCAGCCATCGTCATAATCTTGAGAATGGTTGAGGTGGATGAGAGATAAGGTAATGAACGAAATGTGTCGACCATGACACAAAATTTTTTTTAAGGGTAGCCAAGAATGAACACGATGCGCACAAGGACACAACACCATACTCACTTCACACGAAGTGTAGGGCTCCAATGTATGGAAACACACATTCACACTGAATACATCTACTTGAGGTTAACCCCTTGGGCAAAGGCAAAGATCATGGAGCTAGGGAAAAAATTTCCAGTGAGGCACATAGGTTCGATCCAATCCATGGATGCCAACTTTTTCCTCCACAACAAACTAGCCAATTGAGCCATGCTTGGCTTTCTTGTATGCGTTGTCTTTAGTGCTCTCTTTTATTGACAAGAGGACACTAAAAGATAACCTCTACTCATCCTTCAAAATTGCCCTTAGTGCTATCCTTTTTTTCTCTCTTTTTTTTTCACTTTTCTCACTGTAGTAACACAGTAAAAATGCATTAGACTTGGCTTGTAAAAAGGTGAAACTTACATTACCCCAAAAATATAAACAGATTACTACAATAAGACTAGGAAACCTTCAACACAATACCTTGTTGCAACAAAAACAATCCCAGCTGTGTGTGACTGTGAGCCTAGCAGCACACCATTTTTTTCCCCCACACTCCTTCCACCAACAGTGTAAAAAACAAGATGCCCAAGTGCCCAACTCCTCCAGCCTCCAGCTCTAAAGTCCCCTCCTCTGCCAGACCAAAAAATAACCTAACACATGGGTCCTCTTCCTCACTCTCGCTCTAAATCATTAGTGCCACCACAGTTGTGCAGTGTACTCCACATTTCCTCCATGGATCCACCAATGAGATGCCTCCCGCCACCGGCGCCTTTACACAAAGCTTACTACTTGCACCAAAGCGCATCTCGCACACCGCCTTTCTTTTTATTTTAACCCAAGCCAAACTGGTTCTGGTGGTCTTGTGGATTTTAGCCACCACCACCACTGCACGGTCGTTGGCCTCTCCCTTGCTACTATAAGGGGAAGCCAGCCATTGCAGCCTCGCCTGCGCGCGCCAGCCATCACTGTGGAGTGAGAGCTCAGCTAGCTCAGCACCGCCGGCTCATGGCGATGCCAACCAAGATCGCCGTCGTTCTACTACACTGACATGTGAAGCCTCCTAGTCCTAGATAGTTGAGAGAGGCTTTTCTTCTGTTCCGGCGACGGTGGGGATGGGCCTCGCCGGCGGCATTGTCCGGCGAGTCTTCTCCAAGAGCCCCTGCTCGTCGGCCGGCGGTGGCGGCCGTGGTTGCCACAATGTAGGTGCTCTTTTGGTGTTGCGTCCACTGTTTTTGTGTAGGGCATACGTTTGTGGTGGTGCAGTGCAACTGTGCAGTCGGTGTTGGGTTCGGGTTCAGGTTCAGTACGAGAAAAAGTGAAGATCTCTCGGTACACCAATCAGTAACCGGCGATGAGGCCAATGTACTTTCGATTCTGTACTTTGTCGTGGCACCTCGGTTCATGGATCTTCACAATTGCAGATGCTTTTGCCTGCCTGCGACATAAACAATCTGAACAGAAAATGGAGTTTGATTAATCGAGTGAAGAAGATTGTTCTGATTTTTGGTTTGCAGGAGAGGGGCTCTGCTGATCACAAGAGGAGATGGAGCTCTCTCCGGCTCTACCTCTGCGGCGACGAGATCAGCGCGGCCGCCGAGGACGAGAACGACGACGACGATGATGGGACGGTCTCCGTCAAGAGCTTCGAGACCTGCGCAATGCCGCAGGAACCGCAGGCGGCGGCGCTGACGGTTGCTCGACCGGCGAATGGCGTGGATGGCGTCGCCGACGCCGGCGGCCACCCTGAAGAACATGGGAGCATGAGCATCCCCATCAAAGACATCGCGCCTCCGACGGCGGCCGAGCCGGCCACCGACAGCCAAGTCGAAGCGGCGACGATGATCCAATCCGTGTTCAGGGGATTCATGGTGCGTTCTTGATCCAAATTCAAAAATTGGAGGTTAGAAAAAAAAGATCGATCATGCAGATCCACTGGTGTTGCAGGCGAGGAGGCAGTTGCAGAAGCTCAAATGCTCAGAAAACGGCTGCTGCACCACCGACGAGCCGAGGAGCCCTACTACGGCGTCCATCGCGGCGTCGGTGGAGGTCCAGGTCGGCGAGTCGCTGAGCAACCTCCGCCTCAGCGACGACAGCGCCGCCGCCGCGGCGACGTCGGCGCAGCACCGGAGCAGCCAGCGGTCGCGGCCACAGGCGTTCAGAGTGAAGGTATATACAGACCATGCAAGAACATGTCCGCAATGCAATGTAGACTTCGATCTCGATCAAATCTCTGCAACCGATGATGGAACAGTGATGTGATCGGCGAGTTGTGTCGCGAGATTTTGGATGTGATGAACTGATGATGATGCGTGCGTGGCAGGAGGAGTGGGACGACAGCACGGTGAGCTCGAACGTGTCGAGGATGCGGATGCAGAGCAGGATCGAGGCGACGACGCGGCGGGAGCGCGCGCTGGCCTACGCGTTCTCGCAGCAGCTGCGGAGCTGCGGCGGCGGCGGCGGCGGGACGACGAAGAAGCGGGCGGCGCGGTCGGACCAGGCGGAGTACAACGTGGGGTGGAGCTGGCTGGAGCGGTGGATGGCGACGCGGCAGGCGTCGTCGGAGGCGTCGGCCGACGACTGCATGAGCAAGAACGCGGCGGACGCTGGCTCGACGGCGGCGGCGGCCGGAGGGCGGCGGGTGATCGTGGTGCGGCGGCGGCACGACCTCGGCGCCGGCGCCGGCGAGGAGAAGGAGAGCTGCGGGTCCAACGACGTGTCCGTCGTCAGCTTCGACGGCTCCAGCGGCAGCCTCAGCTGCTACAAGCCCGGCAGCAAGAGCCGCCTCAGGGGCGGCGGCCGGAGCCTGCCTCGCCGGAAGGTGGCTTCCTCCGACCACCGCCTCCACGCAAGATCACACAAGGTAAATCAATCAATCAATCCTTGCAAATCCCTCCACTGATGAAACATTTTACAACCAAGAATCAAAATCTTTGCAAAAATCTCTCCTCCACTCACCGATGCTATAACATTTTGCAATCTGGATCAAGGTGAGCAAGAAGGTGCACCGGCGAGATCAGGAGCAGGAGAGGGAAGAAGCCGCGGCGGAGGCCTACGACGGCAACCAACCACCGACGGATTACTGAGACAAAAGCTGACCGGGGAAGGAGCAGATCGATGATGTACATATGCTTCTTCAATTTGCGTGGAGCCTCCACCGAATTGCTGTGCTGTGTTGTGTAATCAAATTGCTATGAAATTTGGCCCCTTTTTTTTCTTCTTTTGATTGCTTTGTTTTAGTTGATTATCCATCCAAAACGAGAAACCACCTCCTAAACCGATGAAGTGATTGGTGATTGAGTGCGGAAGTCTGAAAGACTGACGAATGTTTCGCTGCTGTTGCATGTATGTCGCGTTGTAATCTACTCCAAGTTGTTATTAGTGCTTAAATAATGTACGGAATTGATATACATCATCCAAAACTTGAAATTTTGGATTACTGGCATGAAATTTTCAAATTTAAATTCATAGCCTAACAGCTGATAGCCCAGTAACCGCAAAACTGCCGATAACAGCTCGGTAAACTTTGATAGGATTCGACGAAATTCAAGCGATAACCACTGTAACTGACGGATTGCGTTTTTCGCCGTCCCGCCAAGCTCAAGCCCAACAACCGACAGTGACAGGCGAAAGAAACTCCAACGGGACACGACGACATGAGCTCAGCTTCCATGGCGGATGCACCTGCACGGCTGCACCCACTCGATCCATTCGATCCACTACCAGCAAATGGACAGCAACAAATCGATTCAAATACAGCCAAAATACTGCTACTATCATTCGAATCACTTGTCCTACTAGTATCTTGCTATAGTTTTTCTTTTTTTCCTGCTACTGCACAGATATGGAGTATCTCTCTACCACTGGCACCAAGAAATGTACGGTCAATCATGGCGAGGATGATCGTCAGGGGGAGGACGCCGCCGGGTTGTTGTTGCTGGACTCTTCCTTGCAGATGGCGACGTAGTTCACCGGAGCAGCCGGCCGGCCACTGTCCCTCCGCCCGTCCCGGCTCACCGACCTGCCGCCGCCGTTCTGGTGGGCCGAGAGCCTCCGGTTCGGTGTGCCATTGACTGCGCCACCGTTGGCCCGCGGGCCAGGCGCCTTCCTTGAGGATTGGGGCCGGGCTGGGCTCGGTTTCGAGCCGAAGAGCTTCTCCTGCTCTGCAGCTAGCTGGTCGTTTATCTTCTTCTGGTCCTGAAATGAGTTTTGGAAGAAAGCAAATGGAATGAGATATGGTTTTAGAGCCAGACATGCGAAAGATTAATGGGGATTGGACAGAAGGGTACCCTCATTCGTCGCTTCTCTTCTTCCTTCTGCTGCCTTAGTACTTTGTACTCATCCAGCATTGCGAGAAGATGAACACCGTCATAGCTGAACGGCATACCATGCTCTTGTTCCCATGCCCGGGTCTTTGCCATCAGTGTATCAACAATGACTACACTCGTAACAGTCACAGATGAACCCAAAAGTCAGATTAGGAATAGAATTAATTTTCCATGTCATATTATGCCAGATGTAGCATAGGTCTAAGGCAGGCAGTGGAAGCTACTTTTAGAATATGTAATGTAGTATAATCACAAGGGAAACAAAACCAAGTAAACATTCAGGATATACCTGGAATTTTACTGACCAAAAGACGAGCCTTTTCTGCCCGCTTGAGGTTCAGATGTGCACCTCTGGTTGCACTGTATCTGTTGTCGTCCTGCCATTATCAGAATATCAATGTAAAGATGTATGACTGTTAATGAGATCAAACAATGAAGAAGTTACATACTGTATACTTTTTATTACCTGGCTATAGTCTTCAAGCCAGCTCTCTTCTTCGCATGCTGACATCCACCTTTCAACCTTCTCCAGAATGTCCTTTCTGCTTAGTGCCTCTTCTTTTGCTTTAAGTATCTGGTTCTCCATATCAGCCAGTAGTTCCGAAGGCTCGAAGATACTAGAATCAATAACAGTCAGTATTCTATCTCTTGCAGCACTGGTATCTATCGTAATGTGAGCCTGGGCATATATATCTTCAAGTTCAGTCTGCCTTTTGAACGCAATATCCTTCATCCTACTAGCTTTGAGCTGATCCAGCCTTTCAACTTCAAGTTCAGCCTTTGGAGCGCAAAACATGTCAGACAAAATATTATGCTATTCTCCTAGGAGCACTTTGAGAAGAAAATCTCCTAACCTGTTCGATCAAATCAATATCAAGAGCTCCTGGTGCTGTTACTTCATCCAATGTTGAGGAAATGTTGCATGTGACATGGTCAAAAAGTTGTCGCTCATCAGCAGAGGTGTCCATTAGGTTCCAAAGATCAGTTAGCTGGGAAGCTAGAGCTTGAATCTGAGAAACATAGCATTTAATCATAAATAATATCCAGGATGTACTATGTTACAGAGATACAAAAAGGGTTGGATGAGTAAGAACAAGAGGCTCGTTGTAGAATTACCCTTTCAAGTCTCTTTGATTTCTCTTCTTTAAGTTGAATTACCATCTTAGACAGCTTGGATAATGTTGCGTCACTAATGCTCTTGAACTCGGCACCAACCGAGTCATTGAGACTAGGATGAACTTCAGTAACAGTGCTCAGGAAATCCATCCCAAGGACAGAACAGAGATCATGCACTGAACTCACGAAGTCAAGAATCTTGTGCAGTCTATTGCTCTGCAATGCAAGAAAATGGAAAGAAATACGATTTCAAGTCAATAAATTTTAAATAGTCGAAAATGTGTGTATAATGCAAAGATTATCATCAGCTATATCAGTGGCCGTATGCCTGCTTCTGTGGTACTAATATGGTACGTCAAAATTTAGAGATCATCCATCATAGGGATGTTTGATGTTATACAATGCTTATCAAGAGAATTTGACCAGCAGATATTATGTGAAATTATTATTTATTATGCAAAACAAAGAATCTCTTTAGCATGGTTGGGCTATGAAATTTGGAAGATTATTCCATAAGCAGGTCCAGAAAAAGGCAGTTGGCAGATTGTGAAAATGAAAAACAAAGTGCCAACCTTTTCCTTTTGTAGAGCTTGCAATTCAGAAAGAAATTCATTTAATTTCTTCGTTGAAAGATCATCCTCATTAACACGGGGTGTTTCCATGTGGTCACCAACTTGCAGACTCCCAGCGATTTCACCACGTATAGTTTGAATTTGAAGTTGTACACCAGCAAACTCTCTAACCCTCTTATCTTTTTCCCTGCAGAGTTTCTCCAAGAAAGGTGATATTGCTTCTAGTTGCTCCTTGATAGTACCGGTTGTCTTGTCAGGCTGCAAAAGTCAGCAGTAATGAGCCAGATGCAGCATATTGTAGGTGTGTGTGTACTTTTGGGGAAAATAAGGAATTATATTCATGAAAATATTTATCAAGATACTTACAATGCCAGAAATAGACAGCTCGCCTAGTGCACAAAGGAGTCTAGAAAGCTCAGACTTGGCGTTAGCAAGCTGTTGAAGGAGGCGTGCCCTGGAATTAGATGCCTGATCAACCTTTCTCCTGTAAACATCCAAGCATTCTTGTTCTAGCTGAAGTAACATCTTGTCACGGTCTTCATCGCTTTCACCAACCTCATCCCATATCAACTGAAATGACACTAGTCAGTCACTTGTCCAATCCTATGCACTACTCATATAACTTTTCGTTGCACAGATGCTATGGTGTAGATAGGGAACTAAAATGGCTTGCTGCTATCCTTAGTTCCAGTCATTATAAAGCACACATACAAAAGAACATTGGAAGAGACAAAGGCACCTGAAGTTGCTGCAGCAAAGATCCACATGTCGTTTCACCTATCAAAGGATCATTGTGCCCTGCCACTCCCATTCTAGCTCAACAACCTGCTAAACGTAACTATGTAAGTCTTTAAACATATTGATGGCATTTCATGATAATTAGTTAGCTGCACATTTGACCGTATTCAATTATTTATATTCTGAAAACCCTTGGATTATTTTTAAAAATAAAAACAAGTAAACCTGCAAAGCCGACATGATCTCTGAATCAAAGTCAATGCTGGTTGATAAATAAATTGCGATAAAGTAAAATATAACGCACATATAGGTGCCCACACCTGAAAGGATGAAATTCAGCAGTTCCTTCATAAATGAGGAACTAGTGCACCAACAGTTATATGAACTAAACTCCCTAGTAGAGCCCCCCCCCACCCCCCAAAAAAAAAACCTAAATAAAGAGACAAACAAAAGTATATGGAAAAAAAAAACTTAACTTTCTTCTACGGAATAGTCATTTAAGACCCTATAAGGGTAGCAAAAAAATCCATCCACCATACCACCTAAATCAGAATGGTGAAATAAAAAAGAAACATATACTAGAAACACACTTATACTTCCCCACAATAAACCATGTATGCTCATACAAAAAAATGTACCATTCAGACTTTCAACATAAAAGCCGACATCTCGCTACAAAGATGTGTTCAATCCCCAACAACGCTCACAATTTCTTCTTAAAAAAATGTTTGGAGGGAAGTCTCTCCCTTCAAATCTCTTTTGTTTTTAGGGCGTGCAGAGATACCCCAAAATCAAAACATTGGCCCCCATTCCTGCGGACCGCTCCGTCAAAAAACAGTAAACTTCCGCTAAGAACCCACCAAAGAATCCAACTACACGAGCGAAAAAGAGAAAAAAAAAACCTAGGAGAGGACAGACGCAACCCAGCCCGATCGCCGCCGCGCAAGAACAAATCAAGAATCGCCACCAACCTAACCTCACCTCACCCCCCCCCCAATCCTACACAAAACCCTCCCAAAACCCACCCAATCCGCCACAACAAGTCAACAACCACCTCGAAACGAACTAGAACCCCAACCCCCTCCTCCCATTTCCACCCAAGAACGAGATCCCCCGCAGAAATCCGTGGGAACAAAACGAGAGAGAGAGAGGGCGCCGCGGCGCGAATGGAGTGCTCACCTGGGGAACCCACCCGGTGCAGGGGGCGGCGCGCTAGGGCTTTCGTGCTCGCTCGAGCGAGGAGCGGGGATCCGTAGACGGCGGCGCGGCGCGGGGTGGTGGCCGGAGGACGCCGCGGCGAGAGACACGGGAGAGAGAGAGAGAGAGGCACACAGCGACAGGGTGGGGAGTAAGATCGGACGGTGGTCCATCCGCGGCGAATCCTGGCCGTCCGATGCGCCGCGCGCGTTGGGAAGGTTTGGGACCGGTGTGGCGCGTGCAGTGCATCTGGGCCGTCCGTTTTTTTCTCTGACAAGATACGGTATACGTAAAGTTAGGGCGTAGGAGTACTTCCGGTGGCATTCCTACGGAGCGTATGTTTGTCGGTACTCGGTAGTAGAGTAGTACTAGTACTAGGGTCTTTGCAGGGGTTGCAGTGCACTTGGGTTCTGGAGAGCTGTCCCCTATCCGGGCCCACTTTCAGTGAGAGAGGGCTATGCGTCCCGGTCTCGCTGTGTCAGAACTCATAAGAGTCAGACGTCTGGTGACAACTGAGGAAACAGTGGCCGCTTGCTAGGCTTCCATTTTTCTTGGAACTAAGTTAAACCCTGTTTCGGAAATTTAGTACGATAACAATGAAAAAATAACATGTAAAATAGCTAGATAATATCAGATTAAGTAAATTAATATGATTTATGATAATTTAAATTTAAATAGTATGTAGAATGGTGATTCAAACGTAAAATGTAAGGTGGTATGAATTTACGGAAGAAGAAAAGTAGGGAGATAGTTTGGACCGTAGATTAATCATCTAAAGGCTAAAAACAATTGATGTGATATGACTTAATTAGAGGAAAAAATGAGAAATATAATTTGGACCATAGATTAATCATTTAAGCACTAACTAAGTGAGGATAAGCTATATAAGTAGATAGGATATCATAAAATATAATAAAGATATACATTAAAACATTATGTGAATTATGTTGGATAATAATTTAACATGATTGTATTTGAAAAGCTCTTAAATTATAAAAACTATAAAGATATAGCATGTTTGCATGATGTTTAAATGTGATTATTGTTAGTGGATGATGATGTGGCATCTTGTTAATTAGTGGATGATGATGTGGCATCTTATTAATTAGTGGATGATGATGTGGCATCTTGTTAGTGGATGATTGTCGGTGACATGGGACCGAGGGTATCTTGACTAGAGGTTTGGGGCAGCTGCAGTCACCCACGTGGCCTGACCCCCTCGGGGGGGTCGGGCCCGAGGGTGATGTGGCCGCCCCTCCCTCTGTCTCCCCGAGGGGTCGGGCCGCTCCCGTTTCGGCCCCGAGGGCTGGGGCGCCCCGGCCCCCTGTGGGTTTGGCGCCACGTGTGTGGGTTAGGTGAGCACAGCGGCGCTCACCTAACCGCGTTTATTGCGGGTTGGACGAGCGCCCCACGCCGCATTTAATGCAGTGCAGCACACTCGTTCGGTCCGTGACAGGTCACAGTGTGTGACCGGTCACAGACCGGTCAGATCGCGGGTTAGGTGGCAACAGGCGGCCTGACACACGCCTCGCCCCGTCCCGTCTGAATGATGAGGGCCTCCAGGCACTCGTCCCTAGCCGGAGCCGGCGTGGGAACTCCTGGAGTTGGCACGTCAGCCCCGGCCAGATACATTCCAGGCTTCATCGCAACCATTGCAAGGAAGTCATTGTATGAAGAAGGGCAGACGTGTAGCATGCTGAACTGACACGTTGTGGACAAGAATGACCGGTCTGTGACTGGTCTGACGCCGGTCGCGTCATCGGCAGACAACCGTGCTCCCACGATGCATCTGCCTCCGGTGGAGTGGAGGTAGGTATGACCCATCTCGTCGGATGGTCATTTGGAAAGCAGCCATGGCAAATCTTCGCCCATTAATGAGGGAGTAACAGGGAGATCCCCGGTGTCAGGCGAGAGACGGCGCTGAGCCTCACTCAAGGACAAGTTGTGATTTAGCTTCCAGGCGAAGGTGCAAGCCAAGTTTTGGTCAAGATAGAGTAGGTCCCCACCCAGAAGAAAAGTAGGTAGAAGTGGTGCATGTAGTATCCCCTTGAGATATAAAAGGAGGACCTTGCCCACCAAAAAAAAAAAGGAGAGAGGGGGCGAGTGGGGTTCTGGAGCCTGAACTCTCTGGCTCTCCGGCTCTCTGTAAATCCTTCACACACAGATCCACCAGAACACAGGAGTAGGGTATTACGCTTCTCAGCGGCCCGAACCTGTCTACATCGCCCGTGTCTCGTGCACTTGCTCTCTCGCGAACATTCTCCAGATCGATCGAGGGCGAAGAACCTCACTTAGCGCCCCCGGCCGAACCGGCAAAGGGGGGCCTGCTCGGTCTCCCGGTGAGGAGCCCCACGCTCCGTCAATGATGATGTGGCATCTTTGCATGTTAAGTTTAAGGAGTTAGTGGGGGATAAATTTATTGTAAGATAGGATTTACAAAAACCTCCCGTCCTAAGATGACTACAATATCGGACTATAAACCAGCAAGAAGATAAAAGAGGAGACAGAAGAGTAGTTGGCTACAGATTTGCTGTAGCTGGAGCACAGACTCCAAGATACATATGTGTATGAATTGGCTACTAAATTGACTATGGATGATTTAGAAACAATAGTTGGTTATATTATTAAACTTGCTCTAACTAGGGCTGTCAATGAGCGAGCTCGAAACTCGAGCCCATAAAATGTTCGAGCTTTCAGATAGATTTGGTTTGAGCTAGATGAAGCTCAAGCTTGACTACCGAGATTGTTCCTAGTTCATCATATTAATAGAAGAGGAAAAAGAATAAAATAAATATATGATGTTAATACAATGCATGTAAATAATATATTTGATATCCTAAATTATTGAATAACAATAAAAATAATATATTACTAGGCTCGTTGGAAGCTCGAGCTAGGCTCGGGCTCGGCTCGTTTGGAGGTCGAGCCGAGTTTGAATCGAGCCTAGGATGAGTCGAGCCTCAAGCTTTTTTGACAGCTCTAGTCCCAACCACTCCCTCAATAAAAAAGATCCAACCTAAATGTCATAGGACCATCCAGATTGGTTGTTTTAGGGTGCGTTTGGTTCACAGTCAAAGTTGGATGGGATACGGCGGTCCATATTTTACTGAATATGGCGATCCAGTTTTTTGTTTGGTGGAGTGAATATGGCGATCCAATTATTTTTATTTGGTTGTAGGGATGAAGGTGGATTTAGTGATCCATTTTTTTTGGTTAGGAAGAGTAGGATAAATGAGTGGATACAATCACCCCTACATTTAAGGCGACGAGTATACCCCCTTCAAATTCATCAAAACCACCAAAATATCAATTACTACAAACAAAAGAATCTTAAAGGAAATATAAGAAATCACAAAGAAATAGAAGGGGGAAAGGAGAAAAATGAAAAAAATAAAAAAAAAGGTCATTCGCGCTCTTCTCGCCGGCCGCCGCCTCCGGGCTGGCCTCCTCGCTCGCCGACCGTTGCCTCGTCTTCAGGCCACCGCCTCGCCTCCTTGTTCGCCGGCCATCGCCAAGTCTCCGGGCCACCGCCTCACCTCCTCATTTGCCGGCCACCACCCTATCTCCTGTTTCACTCGCCGGTCGACGACGATGACGACGGAACCCCCTACCGCCTCACCGGATCCGTCCCATCCAGATCCGGCGCCCTCTCCCGCTGCCGCCTCCTCGCCTCTGGCCTGCGGGCTCGCCGCTATCGCCTCTTCCCGCTGTCGTCACCGCCTCCGGCCTTTGGACTTGCCGCCATCGCCTCTTCCCGCCGCCGCCGTGCCCCCTTCTCACACTGGCCGCCACGCTCGTCGCTCGTCGCTCATCACCGCACCCGGTGTTTATATGAACTGAATTACTCCTGCTTTAGAAAAGTCCAATCCAAAAAAATAAATATAGACTGGCACCTAGATTCATATTTAGGAATGGATTCTTTTTTAAGATAGATGGAGAGTTTCTTACTGATAAAATCAATTCAGGTCGAACATTAGGTTGAAACCACAAAAAATGATAATTTTATAGTCATATTGAATCTCTATTGTTCAAATATTGATAGGTTGAAAAATAATAAAAGAACATGAATATGTACCAGTAACCAAGAATCAATGTTTTGTACCATATCAAATTGGGTTAATTAGATACGTGCCATTAAAAATTTGCCGGTTTTGAAATGTACCAATACTATTTACGTATTTATAACGATGATACTGCTACTTGTATGTAATCTCAATGGTGCCACTAAGATACGTATTTTGCATGTATCAGACGAAAATACCCTCATCTTCTACCTCTCTCTTCCCTACAGCAGTGCCACCGACGTGTGTTGGCCAAGGTCCGCTGCATGGGCAAGTGACGCGGCGAGGCGCGGTGCGGTGGTGTGCGAGGTCGGGCGCCTCGCGCGGGAGTCCAACCAGGATCGGCGGTGCCTCGCGTCGGCCGGCGTGGCGCGCGCACTCGCCACGGCGATCGTGTAGTTCGCTGTGGCAGGCTGATTCGTCAGCGTCGTCGGTCTTGCTCGACGACGTCCTGGCGGCACGGGTGCTTGTCATGCCGCTCGACGAGGAGGCCATCGGCTCCTCGACCGCGTCGGTGGCGCTGCTCGCCAACGTTGCCAAGCACGGCGACCTACAGAGTAGGCTCCGGGCAGCGGTCAACGTTAGGGAGATCGTTGTGTTGTCGTCGTGCTGCTCACGCAACGGCGGCGCCACCACTGCCATTGATCTCAGCGACCACCACCGCCATTGATTCCTAAATCCTGTCGCCGGCGATGTCCACCGCGGGAGCTCGGAGCGAGGAAAGGCAGCTGGATCTGGGACACGCTGGCATGCAAGAGGAGGCCAGCGGCGGGCCGAGGTGGAGGGAGATGACGTGCAGGAGGAGGCCGGTGGTCAGGTCACGCCATGGAAGAAGGGAGAAGGACTAAGGGGAAAAAGGGATAGTTTGGTCCTTATTTTTTTAAAAAAAAATGCATCCAATGGGTAAGTAGTGGTATATCTCAAATATGTGGAAAATTATAATGGTATGGTTTCAGATATGCGAATACTAATATCATATTTCAAAACCAGTATATTTTAATGGCATGATCCAATTAACCCGATCAAATTTATTCATAGTATAGATGGTTACATAAAACGTCTAATGATTTTTTTGGGCTTGCCAGAAATCATCGGACCACAAGTTTGTGTTCTACAGCAGTGGATTCGGAGAAAAACTCCCCCGTCCTAAACGGTGCGTTTTTATTAAAAATATATATATACAAAAGCTACTTTAAAAATCATATTAATCTATTTTTTAAATTTAAAATAATTAATACTCAATTAATCATGCGCCAATAGCTCATTTTGTTTTACATATTTTTTTTCTATCAATCTTCGCTTTTCCCTTCTTTCAAGCAAATCATAAATGTAAGAAGAGAAAATAATATTAGCATATTTGTAATCATATGATTATATATCTTCAGAAATCATGGTAATAAAACCAGTCGCTGACCACCTGGTGGATTGCAGCATTACACTGCAGAGTGCAGACAGTTAATTCATTCTGCGTGCTGACGTGTACGTTTGCTGGGGGTGACGCGTGGCACATTTCATCAGCAAGCTCCGGGGGAGAAGCCGACCACCTTCTTCCCGATGTCGTAGGCGACGCCGAACGTCTTGAGCTGCGTGTTCCCGACGATGCCGACGTCGCCGCCGTCCTCGTTGCCGGCGAACGCGAGGCACACCTGCGACGCGCTCACCGTGTACATGATCCCCGACGCGTCGACGTCCAGCGCCGCGCCGCCCTGGAACAGCAGCGACACCGTCGGGATCGCCACCTGGCTCATCCCGGTGAAGTCGTAGCACGTGTCCAGCAGCGACACCGCCGCCGCCTTCCTGTACCCGCGCGCCGCCATGGCGGCGGCGAACGCGGAGCGGAGCGACGAGTACGCCGCCGGCGGGAGGCGCGTGATCACCGTGCCGGAGTCGACGATCGTGCCGGCGGCGGCGAACACCGACGGCGCGATGGGCAGCAGCCGCCCGCCGACGCGGATGCCCGTCATGCCGACGTAGTAGAACGTCGGCCCGTTGCCCGTCAGCATCGGCGTCGTCGTCGTCGCCGGCGGCGAGCCCGCGCCGAAGTCGAGGTACCCCGTGCCGGTCGACCTCGCCGGGAGGCAGTGCGCGAACACGCCGCCGTACTTGCCGTACGTCTGCACCGGCAGCGACGTCTTGCCGCGGCCGAGGCCGAGGAGCCCCGCCGCCTCGCCGAACAAGCCGTCGTTCCTCTCGCCGCAGCCGAACCGGAACCCCTTGACGGCGTCGTAGGAGGAGAGGGTGAGGGTGTCCATGGCGAAGAAGCCAATGGAGTACGAGCCGTCGCCGTACTGGACGCCGTAGAGGCAGTGGCCGCCGGAGCAGCCGCTGACGTCGAGGTCGGAGCAGGCCGGCGCGGCGCAGGAGACGTTGGCGTAGGTGGACGAGCTCGCCGGGTCGAACAGCTTCTCCCGCTGCTCGTAGCACGCCACCACGCACGGCTGGCACTGCACCCACGTCGTGTCGCTGCCGGTGTCGAACACCACCGTGTACCGCGACGCCGGCGTGCCGAGGCCCACGGTCACCACGTAGTTGCCTGTGCCCAGCGCGCGCCCCGGCGACGCCGGGAGCGACGCGGTGGACGACGACAGCGACGCCGCCGGCGCCGGCGCCGACGGCGGCTGCTGCTGCCGGTGGCGTCTGCGCTTTGGATTCACCCGGCCGGTGGTGGTGGTGGACACCCGGTGTTGGATCGACTCGGCGCGGCTCTGGTCGGCGGCGAGGATCTCGCCGTGGGACGGCGGCTCGCCGTGCGCGGCGGCTAGCGGCGAGCACGGGCCGTGCCGGTGGACGATCGTCATCCTAGTGGTTGATGACGTGGCGTCATGTCTGTGATCTGAATTTCCAGGGAGATGTTCAGCTTGGATCAATCGGAATTATTTCAGAAAATGAAATTCAGAATTTTTTCTATCACTTTATGTCTATATTTTACTTAGAGTAAAGTTCATCACCGGTCTCTAAACTTGTACCACTGTGTCATCCCGGTCCCTAAACTCGCAAATCGACTATTCAGGTTCTCAAACTTGTTCGACTGTGTCATCCCGGTCCCTAAACTTGCAGATCACTCGTTTAGGTCCTCTAACTTGTTCAGTTGTGTCATCCCGGTCCCTAAATAGGACGGTCTAAAAACTTTATATTAAAAAATAATTCATAACTTTTTCATGTGAACTCTAATGAAGACAAATTTTATATCAAAATTGTAGCCCTCGACGCGACCTAGAACTTTGTAGTTGAAAAGTTTTTGAATTAAAACTTTTTAGGGTCCCAAAATATTGTTGCATGTTTATAGATTTTGAAATTTTAATTTTAAAATTACATTTTGGGAAAAAATGACTTAAAATAAAAAAATTCAACAACAAAATTGTAGATCGCGTCGAGGGCTACAAGTTTCATATAAAGTTTGTCTTCATTATAGTTCACATGAAAAAGTTATGAATTATTTTTAAATATAAAGTCTTTAAACCGTCCTATTTGACCCAGATGATATTCAAATCCAAGTTTAGGGACCGGGGTGACACAACTGAATAAGTTGGAGGATCTAAATGAGTGATATGCAAGTTTAGGGACCGGGATAACACAGTCAAACAAGTTTGAGAACCTGAACGGTCGATTTGCGAGTTTAGGAACCGGGATGACACAACGGTACAAGTTTAGGGACCGGTGATGGATTTTACTCTTTATATTTTTCTAGTACATTCAGTTGTGTCTGAACAATAATGCAGCATAAATGAAAAAAAAAGTACACTTGGCCCAACCAAAGCACGAGAGGGTTTTTTTTAGGGAGGTTATAATTGTTTATTTGTGCAGTAGTGAACTACTCCCTCCATCGCAAAATATAAGAGATTTTAGGCAGATGAGACATTTCTTAGTAATACGAATTTGAATATATTCCTTGTCTAAATTCATATAACTAGGAAATATCGCATCCGTTCAAAATCCCTTATATTTAGGGACGGACAGAGTATTACATATTTTTCATCAGGAATATGATAGACCCGGATTTCTTCGTTGAAAATACGTTCCTCTCATATAAACTAGACATTTGTTGGACCATGCATCTATTCACTGAGTGGGTAACTTATTTGTCAATCACCTTTCTTTTTGGTTGAAATATTGTATCAAGTGTCAACACAAAACAACTCACATATTTACTACGTACCTCTTTTTATTAGGGTGAAACATATAATGCTTGAAATTAACTAACAAAAAAAATGGTCAACTTCTTTACCACTTACCAGTATCTATATTCTTATAAAAGGGAGCGGTGGTGCATCTTTCACCACCCACCATTAACCTCCAAAACATATGTGAAATCAGTGCCCCTCCTCAAACAAAACGCATATATGGTAGAATTCATAGATTATCTATGATGCAACGTTTTGAAGGGAGGAGCATTTATTTAGTGACAGGAAGTCAACGTAGTCCGCTAGAAATATTTTTATGGCTAAAACACAAAAAGATAAATAAAACTCAAATTTAATTCTAAAATTAAAAAATAGATTTCTTCCTTGTAATATGCCAATGCGATTTTTCTAATTCCTGTAACAACGAACGGTTGGTTCGCTAGTAAAACAAAGAGACTATAGGGAAAATTACAAAAACCACCCCATAAGTCACTTGAATTTTAACATTTCATCCCATAAGTTATTTTATTGCTAATACCCATCACCTACTCAGTTTTATTGCAAAAACCACCCAGTGCGCACGTGCTTAACCAAATTGGCCCATTATCGCTGATGTAGAGTCACCACATGCTAAGTTAGCGAAATCAATCTTCTCCAAGTGCTTGCATTACACTTATTTTTCATGTTTGATTGAACTTTTTTTTGTTCATATAGAGAAACTCAATGCATCAACATTTAAGCTCTCATCAGCAATTCTATTTGTGGAATCTCAAAAAAAAAGTGTCAAGACTATACTATGAAAATATTTAATTTTGGTAAAGAATACATTGACGGCTCACACTTTATGAAAACATGTGGTTTTGCAACAAATAGATGAGTAAGTATTTGCAACAAAGTGATTTATTGGGTAAAATGTCAAACTTCAATTGACTTATGAGATGGTTTTTGCAATTTTCCCTATAATCAATAGCAACATAAAAACACATGCATATAGCTAGCTAAACCCAAGAGAGCAAGCTAAAAGTTAATAAAGTTATTTGAAAGCTACAATTTTGTATTTTGACCACGTTTAGATAATCCACAAATAGCTAGCAAAACCGTTACTCATTTATTCACTAACGTGCCATCGTTGTTAATTGATTTATGCTCTAGAAACATCATTGCCTTCATCTTATTCCTCACGCACATATCCGATCCTTAGATTTATGTAAATCTGCCTATCTACCAAAATTTATATACAAGTGTGCTTGTTTGGTGGAAAAAATCAGACGTGTGTGCCATGTTTTGCAAGGTCTTATGTTTTGGAGCGTTTTTAGGACACACAAGCTTTGAGTGTGTGTCCTTCTCGCACTTAAAAAAAAGGGTTATTGTTTTAACACCTAACATATTTTAAAATGCAAATTTAACCCTTTTTTTTACGAGTATCAAATGTTTGGGGTTCCTGTGAGAGCCAAAGCTCCATTTTTGTCATACTTTCGGTCTTCCAAAAAAAATTCCGACTCAAAATCTTTAAAAGTGATTTGTTTTTTTTTGTAATAAAATCACTGTCAAGTATATGGCCCTGTGTACTGTGGCCATCAATTTAAATTCATGGCAGTTTCCTTACGCTTGTTGTGTACTGTACCATACAAAACAGGGAAGATACAGTATTCTGATAACGGACAAACAAGACAAAAACTTGAGCAGATAACGACACAAAGTCTTACATACATCTATTTAGTTTTTATTTTATTTTAGAAACATTTACTACAGTTATTTAGTTTTGTTTAGAGAGAGTCTTACTTGGAAGCATTTGCAATATCAAAGCTGTAAGTGAATCCACTGGAATCAGCAAAATTATTTCCAGTCTCGTATGTAAGTATATATAAATTCAAAGCACAACAAAACAACCACAAAAGCAGCTCTGAAACCAGAGAAACCTGAAGTCCAGAAACAAACGGGTGATAGATCAATTGAATAAGCAAACAAATTAACCAAACCAAACCAAACCAAGAAAAGAAAAAGAAAAAGAAGCACTGATGCAGAGAGCAATCTGAAGCATCTATCCATGCATGAATGAATGCATGATATATGCAAATGCAACAGCAGCAGACACACCTCACACTCACACTGAGATTCTGACATGACAGACAGAGACTTGGAAAGAGCTCGATCAAGAAGTGGCCATGCCATGCCATGGCGAGCAAAACGAATCAAACCTCGCGGCGGCGCGTCGCACGACGGCGACGACGACGACGAGTCAGGGAACATGTCCTCCACGCTCAGCATCACATGATCATGCCCTTGTCCTCTCCCCGTGGCAGCGTCATCAGCAGCAGCAGTGCAGAGCCCAAACGCCGCCAGGAACGCCGCGGTGGCGAGCAGCCGTCGCCGGAGTAAGAAACCGCCGCCGCCGCCGCCGCCGCCATGGCCGGCGCATCGAGCAGCAGCAGCAGCCATTGCAATTGCAGCAAGTGGCGAGTGAGTGGGGAGCTAAGCTAAGCTCAGCCCGCGCGAGTGGAGGGAACGCACGCGTATCTCCTATCCTGTTAATGTTATATAGATATATCCACAGCTATTGCTCTAGTGTGGTTAGCCACGATCGAATTTATCGAATGCCAATGGCTGTCGCCGTTTGCGCTTGAAAATGCTGGTCCATCCTGCATCGGCGTACGTCCTCCACTCCACCACCGTATCGTTCGCTCGGGCGCAACACAACACACGGTAATTGCATGGCCGGCTGCTCTAACACTGACGGTTGATCATTGCTACTTCCTCCGTTTCATAATGTAAATCATTCTAGCATTTCTCACATTTATATTGATGTTAATAAATCTAGACATACATAAAAGGAAGGCGAATATTAGGGAATGATCTAATATCAAATAAATTTAATGAGTGAGACTTCACCTATACCAGATAAGCCATCACCTTTGTGAAGCTAGCCGGAAGATTTCTAGGCGTTTCTCTGTCTTTGCTACGTACTACTCCCTTGTAAAATAAAAAGTGTTTAGGATTAAAATTTTGTACACGATATAAAGTATTTCTATGGGACAACGTTATTTTCACTGCATGGGAATCAAAAATATTTTTGACTAATCAGGTGTTTAGAGAAGGAATCTAAGTAATTCGAAATTTAAGATTTTGACTATTTGATGACTCTGAAAGGAAATCTTTTTCTTTTATATTAAACTTTACTACTAAATAAGCTGGAAATAATTACATTTAGCGGCGAAGAGAGTAGCTAGCCTGTGGCTTTCTTGGCACAGAGCAGGCAGGGGCAGGCTATCCGCTGCTATCTGCTGTGAGCCCTGCATTTTCTGTCTGAATCTTCCTTCCGATGACTGAATGAATATTCAGAGATGCACACAAGACGCAACTGCGGCACTGCACAAGGTCCCCCGGTGACAGAGAACGACGAGCCGTTTGTGTGTCACCTAACTGACATGATTCTGCAGGAAACCCTGAATCATTTCTGCAATTATCCAAACGTGTTTGTGTTTGTGCTGTACTGCTGCCTGCCCGGAACACTGGAACAGAGGCTGCAAAAGAAGAGCACCAAACTACCGGATTGTGCGTCAGTTCCTGAACAAGCAGAATCTACCTTTTGTCACCTTCTCAGGTTAGATTCTACAGTGATTTTCACATGTACCTTTCTCTCCCTCTTTTGGCGAGAAACTCTATATGAAAACTACGTCCAGTTCCTTAGATGGGCGACAACGACAGCGTTAACGTTGTAACTTTTACAAGACAACGTATTTAGAGACTTTGATCTATGGTATTGTTATAGATCCAACAGTGATCGACCACACATAGCGGCGGTCGATTCGGTGCTATATTTCCCTTTTAGGGGTTTGTGCTTGTGTGGTTGACTCGGTTCGTGGATGTACACTGTATTGCACAACCAACCTCAACAACCTTCCATTGTGTTTATTGTATCTTTTTTCTCTTAATAATCTTATAACATTCGGATGGCTTCCTTTTACCATTCCATTGGAAATTATTTACTACATCCCTTTCAGGCTATAAAACTTTTTAGCATTGTCCACATTCATATAGATATTAATGAATCTAGGTATATAGTATGTCTAGATTCATTAACATTTTTTTAGATAATAGATTTTTATTAATCCGGCCCTCTATATCCATGAAGGATATACACAGCCAAAAGGATATGAGTACTTAGACTCACACCTCAACAAAGAGGAGAACAGAACCAAAAAGGAAAAGAAAACCAAACGACCTCGACACATCCTGCTTCTCTGCCTAGATTTGACGAGTGGAAGTCTACCGGTCGCCGCCGCCCCTAGTGCGCCGTCGATGCAAACCTCCATTTGTGCCATCTTCATCAGTTTCAGGAGAGTTGACGTCACGCGCCGCTTGTTGGCCCCACTCTCAACCGTCGTCATTCGCCGTATAGTCGGAACTAGCCAACCAAACACGATCGAACCTACGGGATTGACTTACACTTCACCCGAATCCTAGGCATCCACCGTCAAAGTGCACAGACTGCCACTGTCTCGAGCTGCCGCAGCCCCTAGGGCCGCCAGCGCCGACGGGAGCCGCCGCCATAGCCCCTAGTGCCGCCGGCACCGTCGGAAGCCGCCTTTGTCCTCCATCGCAGCCCCTAGGGCTGCCAGCGCCAACGAGAGCCGCCGCCGCAACCTCTAGGCCGCCGACGGGAGCCGCCGCCGCAGCCTCTAGGGCCGCCGACGGGAGCCACCGCCGCATCCCCTAGGGCCGCCGTCATCCTCCGCCGCAGCCTCTAGGGCTGCCGGCACCGACGGGAACCACCGCCGCCGTAGCCTCTAGGGCTGCCGGTGCCGACCCGCCTTCCTGCTGTCGGACCGCCGCCATCCTCCACCATCCTCTGCCCCCCCCTCCCGCCGCTGCCGCTGTCCTAGCCGCCGGTCAGCTCTGGCGGCGGCAGGTGCAGATCTGGGAGCTGAAGAGACGAGCTGGGGAGACGAGCTTAAGTGATTTCCTTCACAGTTCAGCAAATCATAAGGCTAGATTCATTAACATATATATAAATATGAACAATGCTAGAAAGTCTTATAATATAAAATGGAGGAAGTAACGGATAGTCAGGTAGAGAATCTACAGAGATGAACCTTTACCGCTGTCTAACGCATGAGGAAAGAAAAGCCAAAAAGAAAGGGAAGGCTCTGATTGATTGATCAATCCTCACTGATGAGTGCCAGAGGCCACAAGCTAGCTGTAAAGACAGGGACTGTAGTGTGATTGACCAAGGTCTCTGTCTGCTGCTACTGTGCAGCAATCTTCAACGCCATAACGAAGCTCAGCGTGCACGCTTGACGCTTGAGAATTACTCCCTTCTTTCCTAAATGTTTGACAACGTTAATTTTTTTAAACATGTTTGACCGTTCGTTTTATTTAAAAACTTTTGTGATATATGTAAAACTATATGTATACATAAAAATATATTTAACAATAAATCAAATGATAGAAAAAGAATTAACAATTACTTAAATTTTTTGAATAAGACGAACGGTCAAACATTTTTTAAAAAGTCAATGGCGTCAAACATTTTGTGATGGAGGTAGTAATAAGATAAGCAATGCGTGATTAGTTTAGAATTCAGCATCTCAGGGACAAGGACAACATCATCCAGTGCTTGCAAGAAGCCAACGAACGTGCATGGCTAGGCCCCATTTTGAAAACTGAAATCTCACGAAATTTCAGTGGAGACAGACAGGAAATAGTATATGCTACTCCCTCCGTCTTTTAATATAAGAGATTTTGACATTTTGCTTCCACTGTTTGATCATTTATCTTATTCAAAATATTTTGGAATTTTTATTTATTTTATTTGTGACTTACTTTATTACCCAAAGTACTTTAAGCACAACTTTTCGTTTTTTATATTTACACAAACTTTTTAAATAAGATGAGTGGTCAAATGGTATACGCAAAAAATGTCAAAATCCCTCGTATTAGGAGACGGAGGGAGTACAAGCAAAGTCCAGCTCTAGCTTACATAACTAGATAGATAGGGCAACGGGAGGCTGAAACGGAGCCAGACGTGGTGGATTACAACTGAGGGGCACACAAGGGCAGAGGCGTCCACGTCTCTACCACGAGATGGCCGGCCTTCTAGCTTAAGATAGTACCACTACCAGCGTGGAATGAACGATGCTACAAGCAAAGACCGATGTTGACCTGACGTAGAGCATCTCATCTTCAGTTAATCCACCACTGATCCTCGAGAAGTATTCCCTCGTAAACCTTTGGGTGAATAGTCAGTTCAGTACTTTAACTTTTTGCTCAGAGGTTAAATTAGTCCTTCATATTTTATAATGTCTAAACATGACCCTAAAGATTATCATGCGGCTTAATATAGTCCTTAGACCACTTAAAACGCCACATGAACATGCCACGTCATTCGTGCATTTAAATGTCCATTTTAACCTTCAATTTTCTATCAAATAAAGAAAAGAAAAACAAGAAGAAGCAATCATAAAACAAAAAATATTAATTTTTTTATCTATCAATGCTACACAGTAGGGGTGAAAACGGTACGGAAACGGACGGAAACAACCTTTATCGTTTTCGTTTTCATATTTTTTTCGGAATCGGAATCGAAATCGGAAACCCCGGAAACGAAAACGGAAACGAATATTATCGAAACCGAAAATGGAGCGAAAATGAACCGGTGCGGATACAGTAACGAAAATTTATCGGAATACAGAAACCACTCAAACTGAGCTTCACAGCAAAATATAGTCTTCTATAACTTCATATAATTTCATCAATATTTCAGTACTTAGTTCAATCTCATAACACATCACTCCATTAGTACATAGTTCATCAGTCATCACAAAACAAAGTTCAAATCACAAATCTGTACGATAAAAGAAATCAAATCAACGGTTTAGGCTCAAGAACACCGTCTGTCTTTAGCTGGACATACTAGCAGTCTGTCTTTATTGGAGTGCTTGGTGAATGGCAATAGAACATATTAATAATACAGTTCTCTTCTACAAAATTAACAGAACATAATATAAGCAGAAGCAGGAACACCTGCTGCCACTGGGCTACTGGCTGCTGCTGCCTGCAAGGCGAGGCGTCGGCGGCGTCGGCGGTGTGGCTAGTGGCCGGCGTCGTCGGTCGTGTGGCTGTGGCCGGCGTCGGCAGTGTGGTGTTGTGGCCGGCGTCGGCGGTGTGGCCAGTGGCCGGCGTCGTCGGCG